CAGAATGACAAGACCGAAAAGGAGCTCGCAGCAATCGACATCGGTGACTCGCTGCCGTCAATCACGCTCAAGAACGAGAAAGACGAGGATCTCGACGTGGCCACGCTCACAGCCGACCAGGGCCTCGTGCTATTCCTCGTCCCAAAAGCTGATACTCGTATGTGGCTGAGCTTTATAGCGAGCTGAACGCTCGAGCTTACTCATCCCCCAGCGGGGTGCACGACACAGGCGTGCGGGTTTCGGGACGCATACCCCGACTTCACGGGTCTGAACTATGGCGTGTACTGCCTGAGCGCGGACAAGCCCGCCGCCCAGAGCAAATGGCAAACGAAGGTCCGTCCGTCTCTGGGAATGCCTTGGGGCGGGCCTCTGCTTGATTCTGACGGCCGCGCACTTTCGTCAACAGAAAGAGCTCCCGTATCCGCTGCTCTCTGACCCGAAGCGCGTGCTCATAACGGCACTCGGCGCCGGCGACGGCGGGAAGACCAAGCGGAGCCACTTCGTGTTCGGCAAGGGCGGGAAGCTGTTGGAGAAGAAGATGCCGGTGAAGCCCGCGGACAGGTGCGCGATTCGTTGGCCGCCTGCATATTACGAACCCACACACTGTGCCTGCAGCCCCAAGCTCGCGCTCGAGTTCATCAAGTCCCAGAGCTCATGATGATGCGATGATATGCCTCTTGTTGTTTCGCTGCGTGTGTAAGTTATGGATGGCGATTCTTGTGCTGCTGTTTCTTTTGTCCTTGTGCGTGGTTTCTTGTTGTGCTGTGTCTCCTCGAATGTACCATACTTTCCCTCAATCAATCGACTTTTTCTTGCTGCTGGTGAATGACCCTGAAGAGGGGGGCTCTCTCAAGTCCGCCCGTCGAAGAAGATTAGCAGCCGGCAGCGCCTAGAGAAGTGTCAAAGCCGTCAGCCCTTGACCTGGGCTCCAAGCTCTCCCGGCCAGTCCCTCAAAGCTGTACCAGACGAGTCCGCCTTGGCCATCCATCGGATCGGAATCGCTGTCCAGTACGGTTTGCTGCTCTCCTACATACAGCTTGGCTGTGTCCCGCCACCCAGTGCACTCAGCAACAGAGCTCATGCATCGCACGTATCACGGCGTTTCTGCTCTTTCTAGTGTCTTGACTCTATTTTCGGAAGGACCGCGCCACCCATTGACGACCCACCTGTCCACTGCTCTGCATTTCTCCGAGTCTTCTGTGTCTCAGATGGCGCCTCAGGATCTAATCGATGACTATCGATAAGTCATTGTCACACTATCTGTCACGGTAACACATCATGAACCGTCACGTGACCATGACATTGTTGTGTCCCGTGACCCCATTTAGATCGCGCTGCTATGCTTGGGCCTAGCTCATACGCGTTCTTCTACTACTGTGAATCGTCCGAAGCGACACACTCATGGATACTGCTCCTACACACCCACACGCACTGCCTCTTGATGAGCTCGCCGGATTCGATGCGGGAGGGGCGGCTGATTTGGAGGTTCCGTTGGGTGGGTAGACTTTCGGATTCGGATAGATGGATCTACCGAGGCTAACGATTATGCAGAGTACCTGCCCGTGGTGGAGGGGCATTTCACGTTCCTTGAACGACGCGCCGCGGCATGGGACTACCTTTTCGCGTTGACGGAGGCGGAGTTCCCGCCCGACCCGGCGGCGAGCGGCGCAGTGGACCCCTCGCAGGCCGGGCCCTCGGTCCCATCCAAGCACGGGCAACCGGCGAGCGACACCAACACCAGCACCAACACCCTCTTTTATGGCGGCTGGCAGGAGGCCGGGAGCGGGAGCCCTGCAGACGCTAACCCACTCGCTTATTGGGAGCAGCTGTCGGAGCTGGACCTGAACATGATGTTCGCTGTTGATGGTGAGCAGCCTCTTGCGCAAAACCGAAACGGAGACGGGGGCTTCGAGGGCGGCGAGTCTGTGGCGGGGAAGGATGTCTGTGGGGCGCAGGGGGAGACGGACGTCGGGAAGGAAAACGTGGCGCCTCAGTCGACGTTGGAGGAGCTGGCTGCTGAGATGGGCGGGATGCGGCACCGGCAGGGCGATGTCGTCCACTATCGCGAGGAGGCGAATCCGAATCCAAACTTCGAGGAGAACCAAGTCTTCGACCAAGCTGCACCTACCGACGATGGCTCTACCTTGCAGGAGAACTTGTGGGATAGTGGTACTGGAGTTTGGGCCCACCCCGAGGCCGCGGGTGGCGCCGGTCCTCAGCTGGGCAATGCAGTCGTCCACGGGTCGTCCTCCGCATTCCAAGATAATCGGCAAGAAGTGTACGAGACGGCTCTGTCGCCAACTGATGTTGGCGAGCCGGCAAGCGAGGGCGGGGGATTTGGTGGGATGTGGGAACAACAGCAGCCGGGCAATGCTTTGCGGTGCGTCTGATTTTATTTATTCACGGCTCTCGAATCGGATCTAATTTATTGTAGCCCCGCTCCTTTTGTTTTTGACAATAACGGGAATGTGCGTCAGAAATATTCAGTCGTCGCATTTGATGAACAAGCCATCACGGAAGCGCGTCCCATGTACGTCATTGTTGACTTTGCCCCTGATTCTGCTTTTGTTGACGGACGAGCGACCAGATACGCTGCTGAAAACGGCCATGGGCAGCAGAATGTCGCTGGCCCGAGCCGCTTTCAAGAAGTCCCATCGACTGATTCCCATGGGCAAGTTCATCGACCATCCGGATCGGAGCTGCCCTTCAACGTGTACGTCTCTGCCCGAGGCCTCTTCCCGCTCTTAACGCATTCCATATGTAGATCGGGAGCGCTCCCTGATCCTGCGGTCGCCGGACTGAAACGCAAATACGAAGACGGGCCGCAGTTCTCGGCATTCCATGCAGCGTGCGTAACGCACGGCCAAGCTATGACGAGGTTTCTAATCATCCAACAGGTCTGGAGCTGCAGTGGTCCCGGCACCCTCCAAACGGGCAAAATCGGATGATGTCCCCGAAAAGCTGTGGACTTTCTCGCCGGACTACTTGCAGATGGTGTACAACCAACACCTCCTGAACATGTGCGTTATCATTCCGGCGATGTGTTTCTTTCTTTGAGATATTCACGTTCCGCAGACTGGGTCCGCGGGACCAATTCCAGGGCGCCTTCGATCTCCACTCCCGGCGGACACAGCTTGCGCAGCTGTTCCCCGAAGACTCCATCCCGCATCTGGCGATCCTGGCCGCCAACACCCGGGAGGTGGCGAACCAATTCGCGACGTGGCGGCTCGCGATGTGGGAAAAGGGCAAGGCGCCCTCGGACCCGTCGCTCTCGTGCGAGGTCGTGACCGACATCACTTTCAACAAGACGCAGATCAGAAAGCAGCTCGCGAAGCGGCACGGCTGGTCGCCGGCGCGCCTGCGGGACGGCGGGGCGAGGGTGTTTGGGTGCCCGTGGCGCGCGCTGGACCGCGCCGGCGCGATCGGCGTGTGCAAGTATGGCGTGCAGGGCGAGGCGGCCGTGCACGAGGTTGTGAAGCATATCATGGAGGACCACCTGCTCTCGGAGCACTACGAGTGCCGGTCGTGTCATGGGTGCCTCCCGTCTCTGGAAGATCTGGCGGCCCATCTGATCGCGGAGGGTTCCTGTGCGAGCCAGCCCCGGGGCGCGTAGGAGGTCTCTGCTGCCAGGGAGCCTTGGATCCGACCGCTTCGAGTTGGCGAGTGGATCGATGTTAAGCTTTATGATACTTATGGCCCCATCTCATATTATGTCTTTTCCATCGCATCTTATATCATCAGAGCACTGTAGTAACTAACCATCCATTTATGCTATGTAATCTAGACACCATCTGTGTACCCAGAAAAACTGAACTGAAATTCCTCGATGCGCTAGCTCCCATTTGCGTAATTACTTTGCCATCAGCGAGTTCGACTTGTGTTTATTCTGTTGATACAAGTAGCATATGTGCTCGAACACATTCAAGGTTCTCGCTGGATGCTTCTGGTTAGTAGAGCAATCTAGGGCCTATCTCTGTGCCGCTCTCCCACGGGCGTATGATGTAGGGGTATCATGCTCGCTTTGCACATGTCTGTGTTTGCGAGCTGTCCAGGGTTCAAATCCCTGTGCGTCCATTGATACGGGGTTGTATATTTTGCATCCCTTTCCCTTTGAAGGGAACTACTCCCTCTCCTTTCATAGTACGTATTGGATTCTTTTTCCTCTCCTGGATCCATCAACCATGCCCCATCGGGATTTCGTCGATGTTGACTTGCGGCATGAGACCACCAGAAGCACGAAGACGGGGAGCAGGTGTCGTGCGCTTTGCTGTCAAAGGACCCAACCTCTTCTATAAGCGCGCGTCCGCGCCGTCGACCGATGAGCGTTTCTGACCCTGATCGAGACCCCGCAGCCTCGAGGTCGCCGAGAACAAGGAGGGAGCGACACGAGGGGCGGCGTAAAAGGCTCTGATGCACATACGGACCTGCTTGAGGCGTTTTGAGAACATGGACTCGGATGAGTGTATCCAGGAGATCAATGGCATTGCGGGCCCAAACACCACGGGCGGCCAGGCGCAATCACCGAGAGCAGCGCTAGCGCATTAGATCCGGCCAAATCAGCTTCCTTATCGTGCTAGACACAAAGCGAATCCCGGAATTTAGTGGATAGTCGCTGGTGCGAATCGAGGACCGGTCGCCGAAGATAGTTGCAGGCGCCACAGTGTCCCATGCCAAACCTTATGACGGCGAAGGATTTTCGGTATAAAGGACCATAAGAAAATTCTCGGACGGAAAGGGAGAAAAAATGGACGCACAGGGATTTGAACCCTGGACAGCTCGCAAACACAGACATGTGCAAAGCGAGCATGATACCCCTACATCATACGCCCGTGACGATCAGCGTCCGAGAAACATATGTCACCTGCAGGGGATAATGAAATTTGGATTCCGGTACTCATTCGTTGTTTCGCAAACACTCGCCTTCTTGAATATATGTATCATGAATATTCAGTCGCCCGATCATAATCACATCACTCAGGACCACGAGCAAGGAGTTATCAGTTGACGTCGGCCTGAACTGTTGACATTCGAGTCAGCCAATTACATTTACTGTACATATCCCTCGGCGGCTACCATATTTTAGACTTGATACTCATAATAATCACCCCAGTTGGCCTCAAGGGTTGCTCACTCCTCCGCCACGACCACCACCGCCTTGCCCGTATTCCCGCCCTTCTGCACCGCGAGGATCACCTCCCCAACTTTGTCCAGACCTTTCGTGACGTCTTCGCGATACTTGATCTTCCCCTGCGCGATCAGCGGCGGGACCGTCTCGTAGAACTGCGCGACGTATTTCGGGAGGAGCGCGAAGACGAGCAGGCCGTGGATGTGCAGGGTCCGCGCGAAGATCTGGTCCCATTTCTGAGAAGATGTGTTTCGTCGTACATGCGATTGATTGGATTTGGAGGGAACGCACCGTGATGGGCTGCGGCGCGCCGTTGTAGCCCGTGATGGCGCCGCAGACGATGAGCCGCGCGTCGTTCTTGGTGTGCTCGAGGGCCGCGTCTGTCGTTTCCCCGCCGACGTTATCCCAGTAGCTGCATCATAGTATCCCATCATATTAGAATTCAACTCCCCCGCGCGACCAGAAAAGAGAAAATAGAACGCACACATCAATCGGCCCGTGCTGCTTCAAAACCTCGCGGGTATCAGTTGTCTTGTAGTTGAACGCGACATCGGCGCCGAGCGACCGCAGGAACTCGACTTTCTCGTCCGACCCGGCCGATGCGATGACGCGCAGCCCGTCGTGTTTTGCTAGCTGCACGACGACGGAACCGACTGCGCCTGCGCCGGTCGTGATAAACGCCACTTGGCCCTGCGGAATGATAAGTTCAGTTTTGCTTACGCCATAGATGGCTTCGGGCGCGAGATCAACGCACGGCCTGGGCCTGGGAGAACTCTTTCCAGCCGCAGAACGCAGTTTGTCCTGACGCAAGGACAAAAATCAGCCTCCAAGGGTGTGTGTGGATATCGAGATATGGACGCACCAGGCATGCCGGCGGGCCCCAGATACGCCGTGAGCGGGACATCCGGATGTGTCTCCAGGATCCACATCTGCTCGCTGTTGAGCTTCGGGAAAACCGTGTATTGTTGGTACGCTGGCAAATACCGGTGAGAAACTCTAACGCTCTTCGTCGGCGAGAGGGAGGAGATGGGACGCACGGACTTGTCCGTAGACATATCGATCTTTGGGGACTTCCGAGTTCTCTGAGCGCGTGACGATCCCGATTCCGTATCCGTCCAGTCTGGCAGTGGGGAGAGTCTAACCGCTGAAAACGGGGGGCAAGAGTCGAAAACGCACGGTTGACCGATATGGAATGGGGGCTATTCGGCCAATCGCGTCAGAATGGCCTACAGGAAGCAACCCGGGGTCACTTACGGCGTACGACTCGACATCCGGCTCCCGCATGCGTCCCCGCATATACGGATCGACCGACAGCACCAGCAGCTTGAACAGGAATCCGCCCTTGAGGTCCACGTTCTCGGGATCGATCGTCTCGGATGCATCGTAGACAGTCGTCTCTCCGGGGACCGGGTAGTCTCAGAAACGACCCGTCAGGGTTGGATGAGGTCGGGCCAGTTGGAGAAGATTGCATACCTTTTGGGATGCTATTGAAGAGGACGCGCGCGTTTGGTGTAGATGTCATGCTCGTGGTAGTGATTTTTGATGAGAGAGAGGTGTTTTCGACAGTCGCGTTCGTCCGCTATTTGTACTAGAGGTGGTTCGAAGACCCATTACGCAGGATGTGACGCTGATGCTCAGGCGGCCGGCGGCTTGCCACTTCTAACCGTGGTGATCTAGCCTCCGTGATGATTTAGCTCTGCGTTCCTGGGACTGGCTGTAGGATGGTTCGCATGAGGTCACAGTCAACATCGAAGTGACGCCATGGTCGCGTTGTTGGTGTGTGTGTACTTGAACGATTATGTAGATTAGATTAGAGTTAAATAGATCAGATAAACTGTATCTCTGAGACAATACCAGCAAGGACTATCGACCTTCAAAGATGCTTTACAGCTGATTTCAAAAGATTGGGCGGGTTCTGTTCGTGTGGAGTGCCAAAAACTTGTTGATACCTGCTTGCTGTAGCATCCATACATCATAATTGTACGCGGTCTGGTGACTGCAACGCACACGGCTCCAAGCTCCAATGCCTCTGCGAATAAAAGAGAGAATTTTTGAGCTTGAGATGCAAGTCTCGTGGCAATTAACGACGGCCATTATCGCAAACACACCCGGATTGTCAATGGGTGGACTACTCTAGTGGACGCGCCTCCAGATCTCTGCACGCACCACAAGATCATAGGCCTGAAGAACCCTGGGTTCTTCAGAACTGAGAGGGATTCTCCTCTCAAGCCCAGCCTGAATGCGTCGTTGTTGCCCGACTACCCTCCGCACCGAGCGCTCCGAGATCATCAAGTCCGCGGCAATCTGTCGCTGTCGCTGCCGAAGCTGATGAAACTGATAGAGGACAAGTCGTCGATTTTCGAGGGAGATACGGGGATTGGTACCCATAGTGAGCTGCGAAGCGGCGACGGGCCATCGGTCCACGGAAATGGGTAGGTGGAGCAAGTGTGGGGTACAGGTAACAGGTACAAAGAACTATCAATAAGTTTTTGGCGCTCCACACGAACAGAACCCGCCCAATCTTTTGAAATCAGCTGTATGCGAGCACCGTGGACAAGTGCCAGTGTTCGGAATCGAAGCCAATGAAATCAACCCACCTCCCAGTAGGAACTAGTTTCTGGTTCTGAACTTAGAAAGCAGACACTGGACAAATATTTATCGACCGGGTTGACCTTTGAGATGCCTCTTTACTTTCTGGGGTAGCTTCCATCGTCGCTTTGATTGTAGATTCGATTATGAAATCAGCTCCAGTGTAGTTTACCCATGGGGTAGAAGCCGTAGCATGCCACAACCTTTTCGCCGGGCCGGTGTCCTATTTTTCAGCCATTTTACCGCTTCTAGTGGAGTTAAAGAATGGAAGAGGACGAAGTCTACTGTACTCTTTCGACCGTAGGTTCGCGTCACCGGTCACCAGGCCCTCCGAACCAAACCTATTTTTCCTCTGTCACCGGTCACCGGGGGGCTCGAACTAAGGGCCGAACTGGTGACATTTTTTGGCTTTTGCTCAAATTACGCATTTGCAGCCATTTTGAGGTCTCTTTTCTCATTTTGGGCATGAATGAGCCCCAGAACTCTGAGATTCAGCCAGATTGGGCCTGCAACAGGCAAAATTTTGCTTCAAATCAGTCGAACTTTTGTTACCTAACATGGGTGTCACCGGTCACCGGCCACATCGAATCAATCAAACTTCGAATTATGATAGTCACCGGTCACCGCCGGCGAACTTACGGTCGAAAGGGTACAGTAATCAAAAGCTGCCACATGGTCACATTTGTGACCAGAACGGAGAGTTCGTGACCATTTTATCGATGCGGTTTTTACTACCGACTTTAGCCCATGCTCGATCTTTCCTTTGGCTTATTGACGGACCAGGCTGACCAGGTTGCCATGAAATGCTTAGGTGCTGACATCACAGTGTCCGATATGTGTCCGTATCATCTCCATGCGATCACTCGAAAACCGGCCCCACTTGCCGGATCCAGCCGCCTCGCGTTCTTCTGTGCTCTTTATAAAAGACTTCCTAAAGGCATGGTGCGATCTCCTCATCCTCCAAACCCCTCACCCCACCGCCCGCAAGGATGCCTGCACTCGCCGATCAGTGGTTCTCCCGCCTCGTCTCCGCCTCGACCATGCCTCCCTCCGCGGGCGACGACCGAGCACACACCGCCGCGCGACTCTTCGAAGACCTAGCGGGCGTCCTGCGTAGCTTCGACTTCCTCCTTGCGTGCTCCCTCCTCGTCTTTTTCGCCCTAGGCGTCGCCCTGTCGTTCGCGTGTCTCTCGGATGTCACGGGGCCGGACGAAGAAGCAGCGGAAGATTGGGGCGGCGGAGAATCATGCGACTCTGATCTCGGGGAGCTGCCGGCGTATTATCTGAGGGGTCGCCCGGGGCTCGGGAGAGAAGCAGCACCGCCGTGGGCGGGGAAGAGGAGGGGCACGCGAGGCCGCGGCGATGGGATGTGGGCCGCACCGATCCCGGTGGTCCTCTTCCTCGATTCTCGACATCCCATACCCACGCAATCGTCGTCGCCAAACCCTCCGCGATCTTGGCTCCATGTGGAGGCGTGAGAGCCGGCCGCATCGTCGCATGGTCATCGGGGCGGGTCACCCGAGACTGCAGCGAGAGGAAGTCACGCTGGCGCACTCTTCCTCATTAGCTTGCATACACCGCACTAGCCCCTTCCACTGCCAGCTCCAAGTCACCCTTCCCCTTTGCAACGCTCATGTATACTGTGTATCACCCACCCGACTTACCGCTCGCGCGCTGTACTGTATCGTCCTCCCATCCCTTTTGTACACCGTGTATCTTTCTGCCAGTCGCGCATGTAACCACTCGCTACCTTGCGTATTCGATGATCCCGATCGGGGATGTACCTGGCTGTACATAATGTATTTTTCTTCTAGGTTGTATCGACGATCATGACGTCAGAAGCCCGCTCAAAGTAGCCGACTTGCCCGATGATGGCGGATCCTTCGTGCGCAGAAGCACAAATTGTGTTCGGCGGACTCCTGGAGTCGTAGACCGACCGTATTAGACAACGCAGAGCACAAGCAAATTGAAAGATGGGCGCTGACCGCAGAGGGATCAGCGTATCGAAAAACCTGCATCTGTTGGACCCAATGATAACTTTTCCAATCTCTCTGCAAAAGAAACCCACCATCCGGCCGAATGAGCCCCTTGAAAACTATCCGCCTGCAGATTTTAGACGGGGATCTGGCTGATCACGGCGTGTCCGCACTTGATATACTGTCTTGATGCGACAGTACTTGATACAGTTGCGGATGTGAACCGCCGAATTAAAAAATTGACGACTGAAATGATACGTTAGCCTTGCGAGTAGCAGAAATCCCCGCGTCCTCGATCAGCTAGACACCTTCTAAAACAAATTCAATCTTTGAACAAACTGAAATCCAAGGGGCCGCCTGGCTTGGACAGTCCGAAACTACGAACGCCTTACGCTCTATGGGTGGCACAGGTTCTACGCTGCCGATCTCCAGACCTAACTCATAGAGGATCCTGGATGAGAGCTCTCAAAGCCCTTGTGCGCCTTGTTCCCGTACATCGCTCGAATGGCCTACTCTCGCCACCGTAATGATACCTATCCGGGCTCCTCCACAGTTTAGCCTTGCTAGTGTCTCTCAGAGGGTATGTCCGACCTGCCTGTGACGAATCCGAGGGCTCGGGACTCTATGGGGTCCTGCATCGAGACCAGTTGTGCGATGCCATGCACTCCTCTCTATAGAAATTTTTGCGGTCAGTGTCATTGGACAGCGTGTGTGCATCCAAGCTTCTTGAATTGGAGATTCAGCGATGTGTCGGGAGATCCGATAGCTCATGATCCTCGTCGTGAGAAGGTCAGACCATGAGCTAGCACGCCTCCATTTGAGATGACTTTGCCCGACACATTCCCGGACCTATCCGCTGAATGAGGGAGACGTAAAGAGAAGAGCTCGAGCGGGTCACGTCGGCGGACGCGGTGGGCATAAGGAGGCTGCATGACCACTGGCTTGTTCCGCCACTGGCCGCACGTTTGCCCAAGGATCCATCTTCTCCTCCGCTAGGCCACAACGACGAAGAACACAGTGTCCTTGTTCCAGCCCACCGCCAGAAACATCCGCTAGAAACATCTGCCGAACGAGTTGTCGAAAAGCTCCCTGAGAACATCCACAAAAATCCACAAAACCACAAGCCGGGCAAATGCAGACGGTCCAGATATCGAGTGTCCAGTCAGGATCTTCGCATGCTGTAGAGACTGAGGGGTCGGACATACGAATCGAGGAGGGCAGCATCAATGTGGCAGGAACTGAGGAGAGGAGGGTGCCGTGGAGTTCCTCGCGTGATCATAGTCCTTCAGTTGAGAGCTGCATGGCAGAAGGGTCGGGATGTATGGAGGCCGGGAACTATATGCTGATAAACGGAGGACGTATCACTGATACGCGATAGTTTGCCGACATAGGATCAATTTCATGATGCGCTCCATGTCATGATGCGCCTGTCTGGACGGCTGAAAACGTTATACTAATAACCGATGTCTGAATCGTGGATGGCCGCTCGGCAGATATTGATCAGATGATTGACGCAATGATCAAGACCCCAGGTAGCCGACTATCGCAATATCGCAACATCGTAATATTCGAAAAGCGCAACATTCGAGATAGGATCAGCGGCCGGGTCGCCGGCGCGAGCAGGCTCGTCGCAAGTCCGGACTCCCAGGCGACATTCCAGGGCAGCGGTTCGTACGTCGTGTTCGACTGGGGAAGGAGGTGCGCGGCCTCCCTGATACAGCGCCGTCGAGGGTCAATTCACACACCCATACTGTAGCTTGGGGGGATCCTGTCGCTGACGATCAACAACGCGACGGCCCGGTCGCAGTTCTCACTGTCGTTCACCGAGTCCGCGGAGTTCATCAGCCCGCTCAAGTTGGACGACTCGTGCCAGCCCGCACGGCTGCAGAACTGGGACAGAATCCAGACGTTCCACGTGCCGCGAGCCACGGGGCTGCTGACGCAGACCGTGGGACAGCAGCGCGGCGGGTTCCGCTTCCTGACGATTGTGAGTGCGAGCGCGGACCCGCTGACGATCTCGAACATCTCGCTGGCGATCACGTTCATGCCCCACTGGGATGATCTCAGGGCGTACCCGGGCTACTTCTTTGCACCTGACCCCGGGTTCCACGACATCGACTTCCTCACGAAGATCTGGTACGCCGGTGCGTCATCGCCTGTTTGCTGGCTGATGTGGCAGAGCGTGGCGTGGGTGGGGGCTGACCGCTAGCAGGCACTATAGGGTGCAGACCAACACAATCCCTCCCCACACGGCGCGACAGGAGCCGTGCCCAGCAGGAGGTTCGTGTCGGCGTGGATCTGAATTTTGGACTCAAACTGTGCGATCACATTTGTAGGTGGCTGGTCCAACGATGCCTTGGGAGGAGCTGCCACTGGGCCTATCCTCGTCGATGGTGCAAAACGCGACAGGTGAGGAATGGTCGGTCGCGATCTGTGTGTGCAATCCCTGCTGATGACATTGGTACTGTCAGGAACATCTGGCCAGGTAACCCCTCATGCTCATGGACGCGATCTAACCCTCGGACTCATGCGACGGATCAGGCGACTGCGGCATCTCCACACACACGGAGCTCGTCGCGCTGAGCGACATGGAGCCGACCAAGAACTCGTTGATGGTGATGTTCCGCACGCAAAACCTGACGACTGGCGCGCTGCAGTACTCCGGGCCGCCGCTGAACAACCAGGGAAGCGACACGTACATCTCGTGGTCGCTCATTGGGACGCACAACTACTTCCTGTACACGGGCGACCTCGATTTCATCAAGTCTGTCTGGGCGAACTACACCAAGGCGGTTGGCTTCCTTGAGGGCCAGGTGGACTTGACCGGCCTGATGAACGTCTCGTCTGCGCTCTCGAACGACTGGGGCAGGGCCAGCGGCGCCGGACACAACTCTGCGGCAAACGCGTTGCTTTATCGCGTGAGGATTGATTTCTGTCTCTCGCATCATGTATCCGCGCTCATCAAGCTCGTAGACGCTCGTCACCACGGCGGACCTGGCGACGCATCTCGGCAATGTCTCCCTCCCCGCCACATACCTCGCCAACGCGACCAAGATCAAAACTGCGTTCAACAGCCTGCTGTGGGACGCCGCGGCGGGCCGGTTCCGCAGCAACGACCTGCCGAGGAGCATCCACCCGCAGGACGGCAACGCGCTCGCGGTCCTGTACAACCTCACGACATCGGACGCACAGAACAAGGCCGTGAGCGCCGGGCTGATGAAGTTCTGGACGCCCATCAGGCCGTGGCTTCGAGGTGCGTGTTGCGCTGGTGGTTTGTGGTTTGCGTGTCACCTGCGCGACAGATCCAAGCGCATTTTGTGGCCGGCAAGGGCGAGCGGGCAATTGATCTGATCGAGCGCGAGTGGGGGTACATGCTGGAAACCAACTTGAGTGTCAAGTCGCCGCTGCTAGAGGGCTTCTCGGCCAACGGATCGCTCGGGTGCGTGTCGTATCAATCAGCTGCGGCAAGCTGTTGGTCCTGATCTGTACGCATGGTTCTCGGATGAGGAAGACTCCCGCGAAAATGATTAGTGAATTACAGTAATTACATGCTCACTACGCTATCTCGAATATTACACTATCTTGAATGTTGCGCTTTTCGAATATTACGATGTTGCGATATTGCGATAGTCGGCTACCTGGGGTCTTGATCATTGCGTCAATCATCTGATCAATATCTGCCGAGCGGCCATCCACGATTCAGACATCGGTCATTAGTATAACGTTTTCAGCCGTCCAGATAGAGCGCATCATGACATGGAGCGCATCATGAAATTGATCCTATGTCGGCAAACTATCGCGTATCAGTGATACGTCCTCCGTTTATCAGCATATAGTTCCCGGCCTCCATAGGATGAGATGCCTGACGAAGGGACTTGAAAAAGATGTGGTTGTGAAGCGGTGAGAAAGACGGGTCAAATCGGACATCGACCTTATTTGACAGGTTGGACTCGGCAAACACTTGATAACTGCTTCCCTCCTCTCGCTGCCAGCACAGAAGCCATGACAGCAAGTGGAACTGGCGGAATCATGCTTCTTGGTCGTAGCCACAATCGCGCCTCGAAATATCAAAGCGTCAAGACAGTCCGATAATCCTCTATTAATATTGACAATATATGCAAGTACAGTAATCTCTAGCACTCAATTGACTTCTTGTGAAGAGGCATACCCAGGAGTCCCACGCTCTGCGAGTATCATGCTCTTGGCTTTACCTCCCTCAGGCTCTCCTTCCGGGATGCATCGCGCGGGCCAGATGATGCAGAACAACGTCATCGATATCCATAGGGGGAGCGCATCCAGCAGGTAGAAAAACACCTCGTGATTGGCCACGTAACCGCGATACCTGGCGAGCGTTTTATCAACTTAAGCATGAGTTTCACAGAGGTTAGATGGAAACGCACCCTCCGGCAAACTCGACGATTCGAAAAACGGACCGCGTGAGGATCCCGAGGCAGGTCAGGTAAAGGATGTAGATGAGGATGCGCCAGTCTTGGATTGGCTCGGTCGAGAGCAGTCTGAAAGCTCCCCGCGAGTTTGATGTTGAGTGCCAGATGTGGGGGAAATGGGTGGCCCTGTAAGGCTGAGCAAACGGGCGCAGGAATCGGGGTAACAGCAACTCACAGCCGCCACGAGAAGACGATCAGAAGGACTGTGAAGAGCCCGAATGAAAGCGCCTGGAGAACCAACCCGGCCAGTGCAATCTGTGCACATTATATCATGAGTATCTGACCAGATATTGAAGGATCCCAGGAACCACGCACATTGCTACCAAGCTTGGCCGTGTTCGCGTTCTTCCCGGCACTGAGCGCGCCTCCGGTGCTTTGGATGAGGAACGTCAACACGTCGCTGTAGACGAAGATATGCGTGATCCGGCTTGGCCGGATGAGCAGGCAGCGCGAGACGACCTCGGTATGGAAGGTGGCGACCAGGCGAGAAAATAGCACGTAGTCGGTGACGAGGAACAGACAGGGCTGGAGCTCAGTTTGTTACGCGACCCATGAGCATGCAGCTGAGGGCACGTACGGAAAGCAAGATAAACTGGATTTTAGTCAGTATAAGTCGCGCAGATCGATTTTTCGACGTACGAGGTCCATGACAATGTACTTGCCCAGCGTGTGCGATCCAAGGGCATAGACGATTCGTAGGATAAAACCGAGAGCCATGGCTGCAAGCAATGAAGTGAATGATATCAGAAGTCGACCAATGCTCATCGAAACTTCTCGTACCGGACATGCCAATCGTCAGACTCAACGTGAACTTGCGGCGAGGACGTGCGGTGAAGTAATCTGGATGAACAGTGAGCTTAGACTCTAGTGCACTGGATGAAGAGCGCGTACATATCCAGTGAACGATGCCAGAGATCCCGAAGAGTGCAACACCGATCGCCGCGAGAGGGATCTGGTACCCGAGAGATGTCAGTCAACTTGTCGAGAACGATTCCTATGGGTGGGACCGGCCTTTGGGACATATCCACCCCTTTTCCAAGCTGTCAGATTTGGAACACGAAAAAAAAAGACAACAGTGCTCACGGAACGCGAACAGAGTTGGTGCCCCCAGTCACAGCCAGGCTCGCCACGTCAATGCGGGGGACGATCAGACCGTCCGCTGAAGAACGGGATGCATGATCGTTGGATATCAAGGACGCCAGTCCGAGGTAGATAAGAGAAGCCATGTGCAGTTATTTCTCTGGAGGAGAGTTTCGTTTCTGATATACTCGAGCCCATGGTCCAACGTCTGCGCGTAGAGATATCAAATTGGTCATCTGCGTGGCATCAGCAACACAGCCCTGATAGAGATGCTACAGCTTTTTGGCGTGTGAAACGTGGTCGCGGGTTCCGCAGCAGATCTTAGAGCAAAATCACGGGAGAGATGAAGTTCCTGTGCCTGGCAGTGGGTTGTCGGTGGCACAGAGCAACTGCACGTGATCGCGTTTGTGAGCGTCACACTCCCATTGTCGGTGACGGATCTGTGACGCGGTTCTCTTTGTGCTCTTTTGACCGGATTGAGAGAATACTCTGGAGCTGGTGCAGCTCAAAATGGCCATTTACCGGATGAATAACTCGACACCATCGCCCGAAATGTCTTTATGTGCTTCTTTCAAACGGGCTACAAAACGAAGCGATCGGACTGACACTCTTTCCCCCAACTCCCCCTGCGTCTCCTGTCTTTGTGCTCCTTCAACAGACGCGACGCATATGCGCTATGGATGAAGACGTCGACATAACACCTCCACCCGAAATCTCGCTGCTAGATGCCGAGCCCGAGTGAGTGCGCTCTCCTCACCCGTCCACCGTCGAATAACTCGCCCGTTCCAGCCCCGACCATGCACCGTCGTCGGCAACGTTCTGCGATAATCTATGCGCCGCAATCGAGGCGGAGAAAGACGCGACGCAAGAGCAGGAGGCCACGCTGAGCGATACGCCCGCGACGCCGCTTCGCACTGCTGCTGCCCTCTCGAGCAACCTCGACCCGCCACAGACACCAGAAGAAGGCTCGCCTGAGCGATCTGCTGCTGCACCCGGCACGCTGCCGCCGCGCTCGCCACTCCTGTCGACCCAGCCCTCCACCCCGCGCCACCGTGTCGTCAGCGCCGGCACCGCAGATTCGTCGCCTTTGCGGGGGACCGAGAACACGCCCCCGTCTGACTCTCAGACCCCTTCACCCGCGAAACGCGGTCGTGTCTCCGGCACCTCTCAATACCAGGAGTCGCCGCTGTCTCGAAAGGCTTGCTGCGCAGAGCTGGCTGGTGAGTGCGTCGATGAGGACACGCTATCAGACGAGGAGCAGAAGAAGGAGCCGGTCACCATTGACTGCGGATCGGTGGAAGTAGATGGACTTGCGACACACCCTCTTGGGACGGACATGGGAAGCGCCACTGATGTTGCGGAGGAACCCGACGCACAGAGCGTTTCATTCGATCCGAGTGCTCTCGGCGTCATCTGCGCCTACGACGAAGATTTCGTAACGCATATTGCACCCCCAGAGCACGACTCTGAGTCGCTGCTGCCCAGCTCCAGCGCATCTCCACTGCAAAGTCTATTCGGGTCATCGTGTGAGGGGTCTCCCCAAGCGCTTAGTGCTCCCGCCACAGCGAATGACGGGGAGGCGCTCGAGGACGAACTCGAAGTGCTCGATGCGTTAGAAGTCAGCTCGGCGTCGGATAGCAGCAGCACTTGCGATGTCCAGGAGGAGGAAGAAGAATCGGGCACGTCGCTGCTCGCTATAGTTTCCGAGCTGGCGCTCTGGAGTGCTAGTGCGGTTTCGGCTTTCTTCGCACGAAAGGTTGTGGCGGACCCAAACCTGGCGGTGGATGATGGAGACGTCGAGGAGATTGAGCGTGGTGGTAATGGTGGTAACGGCGGTGAGTTGGCGGTGCTAGACAGCGACGAGGCGCTGGCGTTGGTCGATGCGTTTTGCGCTACGCTGATGGATCAGGTACCGCGCACCGGCAGTGTCAGTGATGCGCTTGCGTGGTGGGACGAGCAAACGGCGGAACTCGCCCAGTGCGTTCGAGTTTGCTTGTTTGTTAACTGATTCTGATGGGTCCTGCACTCCAGGATCGTTGGATATGAACCTCCACCGATCATTGCAGACGAAGAAATCTGTTTTCTGGATTCGACCAACGCAATTCCGTTGACAAATGAGTCTGCTGAGTCTGCTGAACTATGGGCGGAATTGTGCTCCAGCGAGTTCATGTCTAAAAACGCCGCGGTCCCTGCACAGGGCGAGATTTCTGGCTTCGACTTCGACTGGGAGCAGGCTGACTTTTCTGGAAACGCTCCATGGGATGCAAACGGTAGTTGTGGCAACATCGTGGATTGGATAGAGACTCCGTGGGGGGACGAATCTGCGTTCTGGGGTTGGAAGGAAAACACTGGGGAAACCGCAGTCGGGGTCGAGAATAGAATCTGGGACGAAAACAGTGCTTGGGCGTCCGAGCTCTCCGACGGTTCTGGGTTCTTTGGCGACTGCTCCACGATATACAGCGTCCCGGACTTCCTTGATCCCGGTCCTCCTGTCGATGGAGCTCGCTTCCTTCCTATGTCCAATGATGGCGTCTTTGACCTCCCTGGGCCCTCAGAACCGAGCTTTGCAGGACTTGCGGACGATGTATCTCGTGGACCGACTTTGCTCCACGCATCTGGGCCCCGGCTTCGCTCCTGGAATCTTCCGCTCCGCCCTGTCGTGACCGCTAACACGAAATCTCGATTTATCAACACGAGGGGAGCATATATGGGCCCGTGAGTGCTTGACAGCCATGACCTACCCGCCTTGGCTGATCGGACTTGGAGTACTATCGCAGAGGAAACTCGCTTGCTGGACCATGCGAGGGATCATCTCGGGCTCGCAGTCCCGAGCTGTCCCTGGCCCGCTTCGGCACGAATGTCTGATGCACATAGGGTCGTCGAGGAAGCGCGGCCTGGCCGTCCGATGTGCGTGTGCGAGTGGAACGAGTGCGGCGAGATTATATCCAGTTTCGATTCGGAGCACCTTTCTGCGCATCTGAGAGAAGCGCACGACACGGATTCGGCGCGCAAGGGCATATGCTACTGGACTGGTTGCCGGGGCCGGCGTGTGACCCGCATGCTCAATCACTACCGGAAGGTGCACATGCGGGCGGAGGAGGTGCAGTGTGTGTCGTGTGGGGAGATGTTCCTGGATGCTTCGCAGTTGAGGGCTCATCTGGCTGTGGTGTCCAAGAGCAAGCGGAACTTGATCCGGCTGCTGGGGGGGCTCGACCGCGCGCCTTCAGGATAGGCATATTCATTAGCGCGCAAGAAGTTTCTGTATCCAACGTTATTGTATCCATTCTATCTGTAATGCGGGACTAGGTACTTAGCCTTGTACTTTACTTTAATTATGCTCTGGTACATGGAATCAGAAGGATCAGTATCAGAGAAGGGGGAGTGGAGACGACCGGGGGTCGCTCATTTGGTCTCACAGGACGTTGGGTCGCAGGTCAGCAGACCGCGTCTGCGGTTGTATTGAGCAAGCGCGGATACTTGATGCCATTGTTCCACTGTTCTCTCATCAAGCTGCGGTCTCGGGCCACAACCACACGCATTAGTAGAATATTGCCGGTGATTTCTCCGCGAAGATGTTCCAGAGAGGTGTCAAAATCTGACTCGAGCATACCGGCACAGTTCTAGTTTTAGTCACGAGTCCAGGCATACTTCGAGCCTTCTTCGATGTTACGGCGTGTGCACGGTCCGTGGCTCCGGTAGACCCGGTGTCAATCATCTTAGGAGCGCAGCTCTATCTCCAGGAAGTGTGATATGTGGGGACGTGTGAAAGATGGTCCACAAATGATACTATGCCCGTTTAGGCGCGGTCTCTCCCGCGCATTGGTACAGCAAGTCGACAGACTTGCTCCATGTCTTGGATTCCACAAGACAGCCCCAGGTGACATGCATTGGCCGAATCAAGAATGGGCGCGTCACACGAGGGGATGGCGTCATCGGCAACAGCCGAGAGATCATATCACGTGACCGTGTCGCTGAAATTTGTCGGTACCTCTTCGGGCCCTTTTTCTCATGCAGCCGTGTATCGACTTTGAAAGAAATCCGTTGTTGTATGCAAGTTTACGCGCGAAGAGCTGTCTGGATGCGAGCGCACGCACTGCCTCGACGCCCCACACTTATTTCTGATGCATCAGACCGAGTGCATCATTTCTGCTCATCTATTCTGCGCAAATTGAGCGCCGGAGGCTTGAGACCGGACAGATGTCATAGATTCCGGTCTTCGGGAAGCTGTGCCGTGCCTCGAGGCACGTTAAGCGAAGATTTTGCCCTTGCCCAAGGTTCGCGAACCTCCCTCGTCCATGCTGCGATGAACTGAAGGAGATTCGCGCTCACGCTGGACGGGGATTCTGATGCGCACAGTGTGCTGCGAGAAGTCGGAGTACAAGGGAGAGGACGCCGGATTTTGACGAAAGGTGTTTCGCTTCCGGTGGTTAATGAGTGTGGGTGCGCGTCGTCGCGTCGCGTTCCGCTTGTGACCGGGAATCTGAGTCGGCTATGTGGATGTCGGTCCGGGGGAGATAAGAGCCCAGTGGCTGCAAACGTGCCTCAGACATCCCTTCTCAGTATTTTTATTAGTAATTTATTGGTCGGAAGTACAGCACATACATACTTAGTCGGGTATGTATTTACGGTCTGTCAGCAAGGCAAAGTCCACGCCATCATCATCAGGGCCCGTACTGGCTAACTCCTGATACCTCGCTTATCTGCATCTTCCTTACTACCACCACCACCGCCAGCACCGAGGGTGTGAGTCCTCCCTCTTTCACACCCCAGTGCTAGAGCCTAACTCCTCGCCTCCGCCCTCCAGCCCACCAGTCCTCATCTTCACGACCGGCTCGAACCGACTCGCCTTCTAACGACCATTGCATGCCCTCCATTCTAAACCTCAAATTCAAGGTCCGTAGCCTTTCCCTGGCGCTCTGTCTGGGCTGGAGCTGACCGTGTTTGCGCTCGTTTCCCTCAACACCTCCATTTCTCTCTCACGATCGCTTTTGCGCCGACTTTTTTTTGTGCCCTGCGTGTTGCCTTTCTTGGTTTGCTCGTTACCACTTACCTCGACCTCGCCCGCGTTCGACTGACGGCTTTCCCATGGCATGCGACTCGACCCGACTCGACATGACTCGCCGCCCACGACGTTGCATTGGTTACCCGCCGGCGTCTCGCGGGACTTACCTACCCATCATGTCATCCACTTCGATGCTTGTACCTGTCCATCCCATTGCTGCACTCGTATTTCCATCTTCAGGGAAACAAATCCTTCGTTGCCTTTAGCAACCTCAATGACGCCGAAAGTCTTACCAAGACCTGGAAGGTGTGTAGCGCTCCTTCTCTTCTTCTTGTCCTCCTTCCACGCGGGAATACTCTTCTTCCTTTCCTTCACTTTCAAACTCCTTTGCTCACGCTTCCTGACGCCCATGTATAGGTCTGCACTAAGGTCGCCAGCTACCTCGAGCAAGGCCAACGACTAGAGAACCTGGCATGGCGGTGAGTGTCCAGTAAACTTCACAACTCGTGGCGCTCCTGGCTCAATCACTAACAGCCTCTGGCACCTCCAAAACCTCATGGTCGATACCGACAACGCCAAGTCGAAACGCGAGTTCCGGAAGCTGTCCAAAGTTATGGGGGACAAGCTTGATCGGGAGAAGGGACGGTGAGTACTAATCTTTCCTATTCACTTCCTGGTGCGGCAGTTATGTCCTCATCTCCCGTAACCTCCGCGGGTGTTATCCTGCGCTCTCGTCACTCAAATGCTCACGCTTCCACAGGGCGATCGAGTCCCTCCCCACGCCCGACCTGAACAAGCACTCGCTTTCCTCTGACCTGCTCCGCCAGCGCGCTGAGGAGAAAGAGAGGTCCCGCGAAGCGGCGCAGCTGCAGACCGGTGGCGGACTGCATCGCATGCAGTTCACGTTTGCCGTCGAGGTCCCCGCTGATGAATCATCTTCTCCGTCCGCACAAACCGGGAACCAAGCAGGGCAGATCGGGAGTTTCGACGCCAAGGTTTCTCCAGGAGCAGAGCAGTCACCGAACCTCAACCTCAACAAGCGCAAGCGCTCTGCGGCGCCGGAGCCGGTCGCGCCTGGCACCGTGCGGCTGCCGACCGTCTTCTCGACATCGTTCGGCCCCTCTGCCCTGCTCGCGGCGCCCGCGAATCAGCTGTCGTCTGCGCCGAGAAAGAACTACGGAGACACGATCTCGAGCGGGGGAAACGGGGACCTCAAGATCGCGCGCCCGACGGTCGAGCTGCAGCTGGATGAACTGTTGCATGCGGACAGCGAGGACATGGAGATGGACCATCTCGACAGCCAGGACGAGAGCACGCACGGCAGGCAGGAATGGGCCGGCTGGGACGAGATCATGCAGAACACCGGCGCATTCGAATTCGGGACCAAGTCGTTCTCGAGCACACCGGCCATCCACCCATCCTCCACACCGACACCGCCCTTCCCCACGTTCGACTTCATGTCCATGGGACCGATGGTCGGCCCGAATGACCCGGGCTACCACGCACAGGCGTTTTTGGGCTACGGGATCGGCCCGGGGCCCGGGTTACTGAGCCTGGATACACACACTGCGGACTCGAGCCCGCACACGCTCGACCCCGGCGCGATGTTCAGCAGCAGCAGCCACAGCAACGTGGTGACGCCGACCGGCTCTGGACCCAATTTTAACGGCGGCGGCGAGGACGACGGGCACGACGAGACGCAGCGGATGCCTGTCCGCCACGAAGCCAAGTTCATCAATCACGGACCCGAGGATCATGGACACGGTCACGGGCATGGGCGCGCAACACCCAAGATCGGGCAGTCGGTCTTCTCTATTTCCGGTGGCAAGAAGGGCGCCCGGGTCCAGGTGGATTCGGACGCAGAAGATGATGCTCGCTTGGACGACGACTCGGAGGATGACGGGAACGGGGGCGACGATTCTGCCGACGAGGACTTCCAATTCAGGAATGCGATGGCCGCATCTTCAGCGTCCGCTGGTCGCGGCAGGAAGGCTCCTGCGACTGGACGTGGAGGGAAGAAAGTGACGGTTGCGAGGAAGAAGTCTTCTGTCGCCCTGCGCGTGGATACCAGCGCGAACGTCAGCGCGAGTGCCAGTGTGGGCCGACGCCCGGTGCTCAGCGTCCGTGTTCCCGGGGGCCGAGGCACCAGTGCATCTGTCAGTACCGAAGCGCCTTCTTCCTCCTTTGCTCTTCCCTCGGCTTCCGGAGCCGGAAGTGGAGGAGCTTTGCCCGGAGAGAAGGCCGAGTGCAGCAATTGCGGTGCGACCCGAACGCCTTTGTGGAGGAGGGGATTGAACGATGAATTGAACTGCAACGCTTGCGGTTTGTATTGCAAACTGGTATGTGGATGTTTAGTTGCGCTCGTTATCTTGCGTTCTCATTCGTTCCCCAGCACAAGCGACCCCGACCCAAGACGATGCGTAGTGCAGGCACAAGCGAAGGCCGCGGTCAATCGGCCCGTTCAGAGGTCGTCGATGTTGTTGGTCCGTCCTTTCAAGTTCCAGCATTGTTCCTCTGGGCTCACCTGTTGCAGCACAATGCTATAACTGCCATACCACAGCGACCCCGCTCTGGCGCAAGGACGACGAAGGCAAGACTGTATGCAATGCTTGCGGGCTCTATTACAAGCTGCACGGATCGGCGCGCCCCATTTCGATGAAGAACGACGTGATTCGGAAGCGCTCTAGGCATGATGCCAGGAGGGGAAGCATGTCAAATGGGCTGGCAGGAGAGGGAAGTCGAATCACACCCCCTGGCGAGACCAGCAACTCGAGTGGGAGAGCTTCCCCAACCTTGGCACCGGACAGCTCGACCACACCGGGAACGACGAAATACGAATCTGTCTCTCCGGAACTGCCGCGGCGGGCGACGTATCGCGGGGCGCTTCCTTTCCAATATCATCATGACGCATTCGCCGATGCGCTTCCTTTCGCCAGTGTCGACGTTTCTGCTGATCTTACTCTCGCCCGGGCTAACAAGAGACGGCGGATGAGTATCGATTCGGCTTCAGAGCCACCTTCGTCCGCGTTCTCGGGCAACTCGTTTGGCGGAGATGGATATACCAGTGCTTCGAGCCAGTTCTCGATGGAGTTCCCGTTCGCCCAATACCCGAATGTCTATTCGGAGTCGTCCGCATCCAATAACAACAACAACGGCGGACCGTTCTGGCACCCGCCCATGGTTCTCAGCCACCAGGATTCGATCGGGGGTGCCGGGTCGCCGAGGCTGCATGCAACGCGGGATACGCACCATCTCCACCCGCCGATGCTGCTCCCGACTCCCGAGTTGGAGGAGGATACGATGGACTGGCTGCACCCCCCGATGCTTCCGCCGTCCTTCTCGGACTCTGATCACCACTTTTTCGGGGGCCTGCACCCGCCGATGATGTACGACGGGGGAGACACGATGCATTTCTAGAGGGAGTGCGACCCATCTCACTATCTATTCATCACTTACGATCGCGATGCTCTCAACACATCACGCACTCACTTGTCACACTGTTCATTGAATGTACACACAGGCATATTTTGCATATATTCAGGCGCACGCAAGTAAGTACTGTACTGTACGATACTGTACTTGTACTTCACATACCATCGCGAAGAGCCTGCGCGTTTCGGGCTCATCAATCAAATAAATCTAATCTCGGACTTCACTTGTACAGGCAGGAGCGGAGAGTTTGCACGTGATGCAGTGAAAGCCATGAAAGCGCATTGAAACAGTCGGTTGTTGAATGAGACGGTGTGCCGGTGACCCCGCATAAGGACAGGTCGTCTTGCGCATCGGAAAGGACGGCATTCGAAACTCTAAAACTTCTCCAGAGCCGAATGCAATCTGCAAGTGCACTGTTCCCGCCTGGCTCTCGAGCACTAACGTTGATGGCTCTCGAAGTACTAACGTTGAGATCAAACTATTCAATTAGCCTGTGCCATGGAACCGCCTCGACTTCATCATCCTGGCTCCGTCGCCGACCATCTGCGACGGCCTGCCGAAAGGGCGCCAATTAAATATATGTCGGCAGCACAAACCGAGAAGATCTTGGCCGGCGTCCTGGCATGCGGGAAGGCGGGATGAAAGCTGCATCAGACCACTCGGAGTGGGAACAACGCTTACCTCAAAGCGAAACTTAGAATGCCATAGAGTTCACACACATGATTAACTATACAAACCTTTATTGTAGACATGGAATGAGAGGGGCTACGGATACAGGCACCGGATGAGTAGATATGAGGTGTCGCGCGGGATGGTATGGAATAGGGGTGTATCGCAGATAGGTCAGTAAGTCATAATGCATAGTTCTTGAGAGGTCATAAACGGTAAATTCAAACATCCGCCTCGTCGCGCGGTCGGCCGGCCTCCTGGTTTCTCAGCTGCAGAGCCGAGCAGACCCCCTGGCGTCTATGGTGGGCGAGCGTCGACCGCGTGAAATAATGTCCGCAGGCCTTGCAGCTCTTCTGCAGCGTAAAGTGCACGTCCGCGACATGGCGGGTGTAGTCGTTCAGGTGCACAGTTGTGAACTCGTGTTTGCAGTCAGGCCAGAAACACGTGAGGCCCAGATCCGCCCTCTTGATCAGATTCTTCGAGCAGTGCAGCCGCTCCGGGTTCGCGTCGTGCAGGATCGCAACGGGGCCGACGTGCGCGAGCAGGTGTTCGCGGATGTGGTTCGGTAGCTTCGTGACCTCCACAGTCTGATTGCAGATCGCTTTTTCCCTTCCCATATGCATCGTGCAGTGGACCATCTCGACAGACTGCTGGACCTGACCTTCGACAGCCTCGGCCGCGATCGCAGTCTGGGCAGCCATGGCCGCGTTCATCTTGCTCTTCCTGCTGCTGCTCGCCTTCTGTGATCGAAGCAGGGCCTTTGCAACCCCGGCACGCGTCCGTCGGGGCCCGATGACCGGCTCCAGCGGTGGCGAGAACCAGGTATCGGCAGCAGACGGCGGAGGCGCACTGGCAAGAGCTCCAGTGGTCGATTGCTGAAGGGTGTTTGCCTGAGGGTATTGATTGGCGAAGGGATAGTTGCCCAGATCGCCAGCCGGGAATGACGCGCTCGTAGAGGCGAGTGGCAAGCCAGACAAGAAAGGAGTGTGGGGGGCCGAGGCCGAAAGGATGCGAGGAGTAGGGCCGGGAACAGCAAGGCGTCTGGCATGCGACATGTAGGGCATCCCAGCCATCGGGGTCCTGGGAGGACTCAATGAGTACGGGGACTGCATGTGACGGTCGGCCCGCGGAGCAGCCATACTATAGAACAACATCAATGGAAGCTTGATTGGGAAGAAGAATGACACGAACTGGTAGTAAGGAACGGGAGCGGAGGTTTGAATCCGCGAGCTGGAGGCGGTGGTGGAAGGAATGTGGTGGGAGCTGATTCTACTCAACGTGATTAGCGTATGAAAGTGAAGAAACAGGAAACATACGATGCTCCTGTCAGTTGAATGTTGGACGCGGGCCAGATGCTATTATCATCCAGCGTCGTGCCCGTGTCGCCGAGAAGATACCTAGAAAGAAAGATCAGCACATGAATCACCAAGGGCATGGTATTAAGCTCACGTCAACGAGTAGGCCTCGTTCGGCCCGATGGTGGCTGTGTTAGATGTGTCGGCAGCGGGAAGTTGGGCAAACGAGCTGAGAGAGCAACTTAGCGCCGTTCTGGTTGGATATGCACGGTGGCAAATACTCACCTAGCACCCAGGTGCAGAGATCCTTCGATTCCTTGAGCGTGGACTTGATCCAAGTCGAAGGGGTTGAATGATCCCGGTACCTCGGTCGGGTAGGCAGTCTGATGGGTTGCAGGAAGCGCTGGAGGCTGGAAGCTGCACAGAAGGTGAGCTACGGGAGTGGTGAATGGAAGGATGAAATAGACATACTCGATGGGGAACGCAGAGGCATCAGCGATCAGGGAGGTCGAGGGCCCGGTGCCATGGTAGTCTCGCGGAGCACCCACCAGGGACGCGTTATCCAGAGGATAACCTGCGAGCCCGTTGAGCTGGGGACTGAAGGAATTGAATGAGCTCAATGGGCGGAAGAAGGAGTGGGAAAACACGTACAAGTTCCAGGTGTTCTCGTCCGTCGGTTGATGCTCGTCGTGAGAGGGCATGGGCCCCTGGCAGGCCTCGCTGCTGAAGAAAGGTACTATGAGCATCACAGACGCGAGAAACCACGGTGGCATAGACTTACAAGCTGCCGGGGACCGAAGGAGGGTAGGGGAAGGCCGATGGCTGGGTCCCATCGTTTCCGATGTTCTGCTGCTGGTCGAGCGCGCCATTGTCGTAAGAAGGGTAGGGATTGAATCTGTAGACCACAGGTGAGGACGGAGACGAAGGATTCACGGCGGAAACACGTACGATGCAAGGTGCATCCCGTCCTGGTACTGTCCGCCAGCATTTGGCAGGACAGGGTAGGATTCGGCGGGCCAGCCGCTCGACGCCGGGGTGTTGTATTGTGGAATGGGCTGCATGGCGTAGGCTGTGACGATGAGAGGACAGAAGTGGTAGAGAAGATCGTGAGGGTGAGCAGTGAAGCAATCTGGGGTTGAGAGTGGTCGCTCAAATAGGCGCAAACAGCTGCAGGACTGATTGCGTCGCCGAACTCCGCCCGGAATGTCAATGGAAAAGCGTGATATGTCACGGAGGAGGCTTGCTGTGCTGGGCTGCAGTAGGGGGAATAAGGCTTCAGGCCCGTTCGGCATTTGAAGGATTACAGACCGCGTCAAAGCACAGAAAGCCCAGCGGTCGTGCATTGCTAGGGCAGCGGTCGTTCTTTCAGAGAGCGTTACATTCCTAGTTATGAATGTTCCGGACGTTGGAGAGTCACTGCAAGCGTCCGGATCTTGACGGCGGTCGAGGTCGATTCGTCAAAGCAGAGGGTCGACAACGCTGGACTTTGACCACGGGTCCACTCTTTCTTTCACTGTAGCGGGGAGCATCACACTTATGAATGTTCCCTGCACGATCGGTGCACATTTCTGGCCAGATTTTGACAGTAGCCGGCCCCATCCTCATCCAAGCGCACGGGCTTTGCGAAATTGACGTTCCCCCCTAGCCCCGAGGATCCCTCGGACTACGCATCAACGGCAATCCAATATGGACGACCAATGAGCGGTGGCCGGCCATCGCGATCGATTGAGCGGACCCTCGAGTGGCCCGTGCGCTTTGACCATCCGTCTTTTGCCTTTTGTGTACCTTGGCAGGACAAGGAGCGACGATGTCAGTTACTATCGAGAGTAGGACCACCGATCACAGCCAAGTAGAATCTTCATGTCAAGCAGCTTCGGGGCAGGCATGCAGTTTGCGCGAGAGATAAGACAAAGTCGGGCCTAACAAGGAAAGTCGGAAAGATCGTCACTCAGAGGGTGTTTGAGGGAGACCCATAGCGTGTATGACTCCAAGGACGCCTAAGAGCTTGAAAGTGAGAATTCCAAGAACGATCGGTCCTCCGGAAGTGCATGGGCCACGTATTCCAGTACACTCCAAAGCTGAGATGTGGTCAGATCCCGTCATCTAGGTTGCGAAACCAAGCAAATTCAGCATTTATCCAGAGTGTCTTTGTAGCCTATGAGGCTCAAGAGACGCGCTAGAGTTTGACGCTGGAGGTTCCAAGGACTGATAAGCATCGGGAAGTAAATGACCCCCACGAACTCGAATGAAGAGTGGGCGAAAGAGGTCGGCCAGAAAATGCTATTATGCAGTTTTTTAGATCCCAGTAGAGTCGTAAACGCGCTCTCCTCTGACGCTCCGGCTTGCGGATAGTGCGTGGATGGGCGTAGGCGCGAAAGCGAGTTTGATGAGCTGGCATCGATTTTGAAGGTGGTGCCTCCACGATTGACAATTTAGACGTTGAGGTCGACTTAATGAGGGTTTCTGAAGTTCCAGATAATACCAGAAAGACGCCAAGGTCGGGCAACGGAGAGTGGGCGCGGGGGAGAAAATTGACAGGAGGTAATCGTGCTGAGTCACATGGGTCTGACTGCCGATCGGTGCCTTAGTGTCAGTCCCTATCATTTCTCTTCAAGGCCTGCGATGTTGACTGGAGCGAGGGATGTTACATCCTACTCTAGGCTACTGACTACGCAAACGGTAGGTTGTTTACGTCGAAGATATAGGGTACTTTTGTAGTATGATATGTGAGCGTATGTACTTTTGTCATATGGATGTGATGGTCGTTCACAGGCTCCGCAAGCACCACGAGAAGTTACAGCGGAGGGCGCGCTCCACCGGCTGCGCCGTAGCCGATACCGCCGAGCAGACCTCCAGGCCCAGACTGGCCGTCTTCGTGTATCGTCTCCGGATGCGAATGCGAGATCTTGCTCCACAGTCCAGCGAGGCGATCCTTGCTGGCACTGCGCTCACGGCCCGCACTGGAGCTGCGATCTCGGGTGTTGCCCGCACCGCCACGTCCGGAGCGCTGATACTCGCCCGGCTCCTGGTGTGCACGAACCGCCCTCCGAGCGGGACTGGAGCTGGGAGAAGTTGTCAGATTCGCTAGACCACCGCGGCCCGTCGAATGCCTGCAAGATCGCGTAAGCCACCGCGCGACCAAGATCGCCAGAGTAGGGAACGCACACTCCTTCGGGCACCGGTGCGCGTCCTCTCTCAAAAACTGGCGCCGGTCCCGGCGCAAAGTTCCCCGCCCCACCTCGCCCACTCGAGTGCAATACAGGGACAGCGGAATGGGGCGGGGAAGCTAGACCCTCGGGTCCTCGCGAACGCGACCGGCTCATGTTTCCTGCCCCGCCCCGGCCGGTTGAGAACAGCGCATTCTGCTCCAGCTCTTCATGCGCCTTGATGATTTCGCGCTCAGCAGGGACACGGACGTCTTGGTTATCCCGTGGTTCGCGCGAGGGAGAGCGGAAGTTGCCTGCACCGCCCCGGCCAGTGGAGCGGATTTCCGAAATGGAGACGGGAGGCTCGCGGCCACGGGTGTCAGAAAAGTCATCAGGGCCTGTGGTGGGACGCTCGAGCGACATTGAGGAGGGGCGCATGTTGCCCAGTCCACCGCGCCCGGAAGAAGTCTACGGCCAAAGGGTGAGGGTCAACAAAAAGCTCAATACCGATGAGACGCACCACAGGCTCCCGTCCACGAGAAGTCGAGCGATCGGTCATGTTTCGGATAGGTGATGTAGTGTCCTTGAGGATGAGACGATGAAAAGTGGAAGAAATGAAGACCACTAGCTCCTTTTATGACTGGGCATGGCATGATGGACGGATCTAGGGAGTCAAAACTAGGAAATGATTTGCAAGAATGACGTCATGATCCAGAAAATTCGGGCCATTTGGGTCATCGGTGGCCGGCCGGATGACATCAAGTCGGCCGAGTCGGTCATTCAAGCTCGTTCGCTCATGCTGGAACGTCCGCGTCAGCGGTGCTAACTGCAGTCGAACGTAGCCGGGCGCACCGGCAACTGTCCTCCTCCGCCCCACACGTTCTCGGGCTTGACCAATCTCTCCTGAATACTCCATGCAAGTCTTGCAGCCGCCATGAGGAGCATGCACGTGCATGGTCAAAAAGCAGTGGTCCGACAACGTCAGATGTGGCGCGACCGGCCCCAAAAGATGACGACGGGGGCAGTAGTGCTAGATTTGCGAAAGAAAAGTGAGACGAAGATGGATCGTCGGCATCGGAAGGAGCATTCGAGACTCGTAGAACACAGACCACAGGAGGGTCTCGTGACAGGTCTCGTACGTGAGCGTCCAGGCCGATGCGATTCTTCTCCACGGAGAGCAGCGAAACATTAGGCGATGTGACACGATTCTCGACCTGGAGACTCTGCCGTAGAAGTTGTGGAACGTGGTGATGATCCGTCACGGGAGAGCTGCGGAGGCTGTTTCGTCCAATTGCAAGTATGAGGATCGGAGTTTCCGCCGATGACAACGAAAGTCGGACCCGAAGTTGTTTGAGAACAAGGATGAGGACAGTGAAGACATTCGATAGCAGCACTCGAATGAACCTCTGCTTTCTTTCGTGCAGCACATCGTACGTGTTTCACGCTGCAGTTGTTGCCCAACCGAGCAGGCATTTGGGCGCACTTGAAGTCGAATCCATCCACCCTGAGCTGGGCAGAAGACGTAGCGCGTGGTGACGTTCCATCGCAGGCTGAAGCTGGTCGAACACAAGTCGACATGCGCTGTGAACGGGCGATATATGCCCTCCACGACCAAAGCAGTCCATCCCCACTCGAAGAAAGTCGAAAGTGATTTGGATTCCAGCATGACGTTCTCTCCTAATTCACTCGGAGGCCCGAAAACGCAGGCTCTGTCCCTCATGCCCCCGAGCAGGCACGTTCAGCTACCCACTGAAACACACAAGGACGCGCCCAGACAGGTATAGCGCAACCCATCTCGAGCGACGAGCGCAGCGCCTCCATCCATCCAGGTCCCCTACGAGCGTTCGGCCGATCCGCGTGGCAAGCTCGGCGCTGGATTTCGCACACCGACCGAGGACAGCCGGAACGGGACTCCATCAGCGGAGAGCCGGGTCAAGGGAGTGTCCAAGGAGTCGGAGGGTCTTCTGTGGGAAGACACGATGGACGTGAAGACGCAGACGCAAGCGAGTTCTTCTCGATGCATGTCGAATCTCATCGCGCTCAGATGGCGAACGAGAGCAGCAATGGAGGCGTTGTCGAGTGCCAAAAGCTTGCGGCGGAGGCACACGAAAGGCCAGCAAACGATACAAGCCCAGGGCTACGGAAGGACATCCTTGGATGCTCCTGGCAGTTGATGATGGTTGAGGTCAAGTTCGAGTCGTTGAGGCTGCATCACGTGCGAACTCTCCGCTGCACAGTGGTCAAATCGGAGAAGTGGTCATAAGGGGGTAACGTCTGTCAATCAATTAGATCGGCTGGCCGGCAGCAGGCCCGGGCAGGACGATTGAGGCACTGGACCTGGATATCGTGAATAGTCGTGCGAAAAAGAAGGCATGAGCTCGGCAGTAACAGGTCTCACCCGGAGTCGAACCGGGATCTCAAGAACGATGAACATCAGAATCTTGTGTGATAACCGCTACACTATGAAACCACGAAGGCATCTCCGAAGGACTGGATGAATAGACGCAGATCGATTCTGTTATCTTTACACCGTCTCTCTTTTCGACATCTTGAAACCCCTCTTCACTTCGGCGCAGCCATGCCTCTCTTTCTGACCCCTTGTCAGATACTCGCCACACAGTCCGCACAGGTTGAGAAGCTTCATATGGCGGTTCTTGACATGGCGGACAAAGTCGCCGTTGAGATTCGAAGCAGCAACGACGTGGCTGCACCGGCCTCCCCACCTGCACATCGGCCCGTCGGCCTGCACATGCTTCCGGAGGTGCTTCGCGACCAGCTCAGCGTCGATCATCTCACCGCACTCTTCGAAGGCAGGCGCTTGCGGAGTCCCGGCTGTCGAAACGCTGGGCATGTCGTCCGTCGTCGCATCGCTGATTGACGGGGAGACAGTGAGCATTTGGCCCATACGCGGCATCTGGCACCTGATCTGGTTGAGAGGATTCTGGTCGGGTGCTAGCTGCTTCGGTTTCCGGGCCGCCCTGGCTGGGACCGGTTGTACGCGTTCCGCTGAAGCAGAGTGAGCTTCTGCTACAGGAGTCGATTCAGCAACATGGTATGGCCGGAATGGTCTTGCAGATCTTCTTTCGACACGAGAGCGGCTGGCGTTGCGATCGTAGCTCCAGTCGCGTGGAGGCGCGAGCGTTGCCGCGGCGGAAGGTTCAGCACCCCACCATGGATCGTATCGGCGCGAAGAGGCAGTCGGGAGAGTGGGGAACGCAGCCGGGGGAGGAGTGGTGTCAGCGGCAGACTGGAGATCGGATTCCGGGCTACGAGCATTCACATCAGTGTATGAAGGCGGGAAGCTGGGGCTAGTACAGTACACGCACCTGTCAGCAAAGTGGGGACTGGCTCTCCGAGTCGATGGAGCCATCATGCTTGGCTGGTCGAAATTCTGCGGATATTGTCGATCCGTCGAACTCATCCTAGAAAACCTGAGTCACGGAGAAAAAAGAAAACCAAGCCCAGCTCACGGCTGATACATTCGATGCAGCTGGGGCAGCTGGCTGAGATCCCAGGATGGGAACTGTCCTGAGCTCAAGCTCGCGTAGTGTGGTGGCCGAGGTGGCACTGCCGGAAATCCTGGACTGAAGTAATGTTAGAAGATAATCATATCGAGACGTTTAGAACTTACTTGATAATGTGATCGAGCCTAGTATCACTGTGCTGCCGATGGTCGTAAGCCAACGTAGGCGCGAAGCATGGAGCACTGGAAATGCATTAGGTTCCAAACACTATGAGCCTCAAACGAACGTACGGATGGCGCATCGATACAGCGGACGGGCCAGCCACTGACCGGGGATTCATCGCCTCCAGATTGGTGTACGCATAGGAAGGATAATTGGCTACGCGACTGTGAAATGCGCATGATTACAGCGAACATCATCGATCCGAAATAGATAAGCACCTGTGCCCGTGCCCATTCTCGCCTCTGTACAGGTTTGCGTTCCTATGAACATGCTGTGTAGGACCCAATCTGGGAGCGAGTGAGGTGTCTGTGAGCGACGTGATGCAACAGACGAGTGGAGAGTGAGCAAACCCAAATGATGGTCGAGAATCGAAGGCGGAGGCATCAAGCACTGTGGCAGGACCCCTGGACCAGGTGACGGACGCGTCCCGACCATCAACTTCGTTGAGCATGATGCTGGACATTCGGAATGAGCAGTTTGAATCGGTGGTACCAGGGCACAACACGAACCCAGGTTCCTGGTAGCTACCCCCTCTGGAGGCATTGTTTCCTGCAGTGTCGGCGAATCCACTGGGTAAACTGACAAGGGGGGAGGGTTGCATGAGACCGGAGAACACGAAATACATGGTGGCATGAACATACAAATAAGCTTGGGCTGTGGGTAGGTTGTTGAAGGGTGGAGCGGTGGTCCAGGACGTCGATGTGCCCTCGCCCACGATATCACTCGTGCCGTTGTTCATAGCTCTGAGAAAAAGCAGTGAGTAGGGACGTCATATGTGTGGAAATGAGCGCACTCTTGAGCCAGTTGCTCTCTCCACATCTGGAGATTCAACATATCTGCATCGTGCCCGTTCGAAGCCCCGTCCAAGCGATGAGTCGAGGACGACGAAGTTGGCATGGTAGAAGCTGATGGAGACGAGGATACGGAGGGATGCACGCAATCGCAATCGCGGCGAAAGCAGAGAGAGATTGGAATTCCGGCTCCCTCAAATAGCTGTAAACAAATGCGTCTCCGCATTTCCAAGCGCCAGAACATAGACAAAGCCTCTCCAACGGCCAGCAGAGTGACGGAATAGGTCTGACAATGCGACAGGCAGAAATGTAACGAGGACTGCGCCAGAGCCTCAAAGCGCGACCAAAAGCGGAAATCCCGGGACGGATCGATCGCGCCTGGCCCGTCCAAATCGTGAGCCATAGACTCTCTTTCAAGAAAACACCAGAAATTACGGAAGAGCTACCGATGTATGCTGGGTATATCCCGATGCGGTGAGGCTTGATCAAAGCGCGGTCGAGCAGTCGACGCTTGGAGCTGATAATGCACGTTAAGTGCTGATTTTGAAAAGAAATCGTCAAATTCGCATGAATGGGATGTCGAGATGTAGACGAGCCTTTGAAGAGCGCCCCCGACAATGTTTGGCCCTCAGACGAGATAGGTGGCCCGGATCGTCTCGTCGCTTTTTAGAGGTGATCGTCATTTTTCTTCCGCATATAGCCAGACACCGATAATCGATACGTAGCACACAGAATTTGAGCGAGAGACTGAAGGACGAGTAGTGACTTGAGTAGTGACGTTGGCTGCTCGTTCGCAGCACTCCCTCGAGCGAAGCGATTGGTGTGCGTGGAGGTGATTTCGCGAATGTTTCGGCTGAAGCAAGATGCGCATCGAGTATAATGTGCTGCAAATTTGTCGGAGAGAAGTTACGCGAGGCCGAAAGTACATCTTCCAGCCAGCGCTTATGCCCTGTTTTCTTCCTGATATCGCACTTGCTCATCATCATCGATATAGCCCTCTCATCCAAGTCAGGACCGCTATAAGGCATCGAGAGCATTACAGTGATCTTCAAAGCAAAACGGCGCTCAAAGGCTCTCTCGTTTCCTTTTTTCTTTGAGCTTGGAGAATGAGCGGCCACGAGAGTAAGATGATGGTGCGTCGGCTGCCTGGTTATCGATCGGTTAACAGAGCGAGTAACAGAGCTGAAGACAGCACCCGAGCTGAGAACCGAACTAGAGACACGAGTTCTCCAGCTGAGCATCGGGACCCACACGATACTGCTGTGAAAGTAGGAGGCATCACTCGGCAGTCTGACGTATCTATATCAAGGCTCACGGCTAGGTCATCGGCCGAATTCATCCGATACTAATTTTTGCTTCAAGACCACCACTGCTACGAGCTGAGCTTAAGGAATCTCACTCGGAGATCTCACAGTATGCGATATCCAACAGAAGTCCAGGAGTGACACGAGATGTACAGTGGTAACTACCGTTCTTCAAATGCTGTCAACTCGGAGGCGGCATTATGTACTCGGGCTGCAGACCTTGCGGTCACAACAGTCTCTGGAATTTTGATTCGCGACTCAACGACTCGATCTTCCGAGGTCGCCCGACACGTTGGGATGAGGAAGTTGTCGGCGAGCTTTTCGACAAGTCTTGCAGGGGGTATTCAAGGACCAGGGGTCTAATTCAGGACCGTGTGCACTCTCTTCTTCGTTTATGCCCTCAACGACTAAAGGTCGATGGAAGACCCTGGCGAAGCTCATATCGAATGGCTCACTAGTGGGCTGTCCGATCGACCACGATCGTCCGCATGGGCAACCATCCTCATGCTTTCCTCGAATCTGCAGGCTTCTCGACGCTGACGGTGCCCATGACCTGACCAACCAAACTTACTGTGACATGCTACACAAACCGAAAGGCGAGGATACCGCAGACGGCGTCGCAGAACTTGTCCCTACGCAATGTGGTGTGCATCCTCGAAACATCATCGCTCAGCACGAGCTGCAGATATCCTGTGGAACAGACCAGAACCATGTTGCACTCAAGGAGGGGGAAGTTCCAGGCGATCTCTGCACGTCCGAGAGCAGTGTCACGTCAATCTGCTCCTCTGCCCAAATGACTGCTTCCTCGAGTCCTTCAGCCTTCCGCTGCATAGCTTCCACTCGAGACGACTTGGCACAATGAGGTCGCGAAACGAATTTGCGAAGGATCCTAGAACCATGAACCGTCACGGCTCGCGGTTGTAGCCCGAATGGCTAGTACCCCTAGCCTGGGGAACTTCCGCACCACGGCCCGCTGAGAATCAGCAGCTCGGCCCATCTGCCGGCCCCGCGCTCTGGAGTCCCAGGCTAGCCGAATAGGTCCGATAAGGCGGCCATCTTGAAGTAGTCATGCGCACAAGCCAGAAAGCGAGGCGCCTAGCGAATGTCTTGGACTTCGAGCAGAGTTCGTAACGCTTCATAGAATGTGATTCGTCGAATCAGTAGAATCCCGAGCAGGCCATCCGTCTCAAATCGTCAACGGAGGCAAGATGAACATCGCCAGCGCAAACCGTTGCGATCGAGTGTAATTGCGTGCGTCCATTGCGCCGAACGACCGTATTGTTTGCGACGGCGATATTGTGTCTAGTGAGTTCTTGCCGTCTCTGTATGCGCCCGCAACGCATCCTGCACCTCTTGGTACCCAAAGTCTCGGCTCGGCCAGTTACTGCATTGCCTTTATCGTTCGTCCACCACGCTCCCGACCCGCTCTTCAGAAGCGGATACAGCTGATGCACCCCCGCCTCCTCCACCGAATACGCGGAAAGTGTGATCGAGGAGAGTAGACAAAGTCGTTGTCGGATAGCGAGTAGCAAAGGACTAAAACAAGAACACTCAGTGAAAACGCAGAGGGAAAGGATACGACAGATGTGCGCACCTGGACTGAGATCGTGATGATTCGGCGTCGCTAGAGCCGCCCTGCCGATCGACAACCCAGTCCTTATGCCGAAATCCGTCGGGTCGAGTGCTGCCCCAGCGGCGTCCCCAAATGCACCGAGACGACCTTCGCCTCTTCCCCGCTTTCACTGCCTCCTCCAGCGCCAGCAGCTTCTCGCTGATGACCTTCTACCAACCACCGTGACAGTAATGCCCGCAAGCTTGCGATCGATGCCCTCCTCCTCCGTCTCGTTCCGCGCGTTCGTCTCCATCCCGCCCACAATGAGCACCAAGAAGAAGTAGTCGACCCTGTGCAGCCGTGCAGCGAGCGCGCTGGCTCGGACCTCGCGCACGGTCCTTCATCGAAGCCACGTCGAGCTCCACGATCTGGTGCTTCGCTGGCGGAAGCGCGGCGGGGAGGTCGCGATGAGTCGTTTAGCCGCACTTGGCGGACCCCGCGGCCATGCCCGGGCCCTCCCCGATCTCAGGTGTGCCGCCCCACGAACGCGGCGATGGGCAGTGCACTTGAGGCGGGCGCGGCGTGAAGAAGCGTGCATCGAGTGCGACAGCGGAGGCGAATGGCGCATGTAGCTCATTTGGCGATGGGCGTAAAAGAGAGTAAGGCGAGGGCGATGGGATTATGGACAGATGGTCGACATAGACAACTGCCAGCCAGCCTGCTCGGGTGACAATCAGGGCGGCGAACGATTGGTGACACTAACCGATTCGGCAAGATCTTCCGCTGCAGCGTCGAAGGTGGATTTCAAAAGTTTTCTGGAGGCGCGATGATTCATGAGCGCATTGATATAGAGCCGTGTGATCTTCGCATAGACGTGCTGAACTCCTTGTAGTGATATCCCGGCTGGGGCAGAAATCGGCAGGTCACGCCGTGACACTCATGCCTGTCTTGAGCTTTCGGCCGGCCCGGAACGAATGACGTCGCAGACAGCATTGACACGCCTACGGAGCGTATGAGCGCGCAGCTGTACGGGGAGAGACAGGGGGCTAGTCGGAGGTCGTGGGGAGGGAGCTGCGGCTCGAGAGTATATTTGTGGGATTCTGATCCTAACAAGGTCAGGCTCGGGGAAATGGGCTTAACTGAAATGGGCGGGGGCAGCAGTGAGCAACAGGGGGAGTAAAGGGACAATAGAACGGGCGATGGGACAATAATGACGATGGAGGACAGGACGAGAGGACGATAGAACGACGGGGAGATCAATATGTATGTCTGTAGCACGAAATGGGGGTTTGGGGGCGATGTTGGGAAAATAATGCAGAAGCAGGCGCCGAGAAAGCGAGATAGAAAGTACTGGGAAGTCACTTTAGACTCTAGAGAGTGGGTGAAGAAGATTTCTTGTTTTTCTTGTACTGTACTACAGGTCTTTTATACTAAGTGTGAATCAAATCCAAAGGAGATAAGTAACTTGAACTTCCTGTTGATATGGTGACCATTGAGCTCTATGTTAATTTATTTCTTTAGTCAGTGCTGAATTTCGCCGAAATGAATGAGTCCTGTGAGCACAACAAGGAGACAAACTCCGAAATAGGACCCCGCCGGAGGCATCCAGTGATGATCAGAATGATCACGTGCAACAACCTTGATGAGCTCGCTGACAAATCCATTGAGATCTTTCAGTGCACATGATAGATTGATCAAATGATCACGTGCAACAACCTTGACGAGCTCGCTGACAAATCCATTGGATCTTTTCGTGCACGTGATCGATTGATTTCAGGGCTAGGGCGCATCACTGCTCGTCAGCATCCTTCCCCCCCTGCGGCGAGACTTATCCGAAAATCCTTGAGTCACTTTCTGGACAAGTTATCCTCTTGGAGAATTAGTTGAAATAAACAGAGAACATTTTGTGTGACTATTTGGTTAGCCAAGAAGAGAACATTTTGACCTAAAACGTGAAAATTTTGGTTGACATTTTCGGTGCCAAGAAAAGACAACATATTGGCTGCCGAAAATGCTCATCTTTTTAGTAGAAGGTTTTGACATACAAAATGTCATCTTTTTAACAAGCAGCAAGATACACTTTTTGAATAGAGATGGGGCTGGGCTGGAAATCAACTTGTAGAAAATGCCTTGCAAGTGTCCGATTCTAGGACCTATTTCATTGCAGTGCAAGACACAAAATCCGCGTGAATATGATGAGGAATCCAGCTTCAGCTCTGCAGTTTCTCGAGGACGCCATCCGTCCAGTGTATCAGCTTAGCCACCCTCGCGTCGGATCCGCCGTATCCACCCACAGCATGACCAGCCAAGACGCCCTATAGACCTTCGTCAGCGAAGGAAAAGCAGTAAAAACCCAGCCCGCTCACGATAGAATCATCCCCCGACTCACTCAACACCACCTCCCTATCCAATGTGACACTGGATATCAGATCCGCATGCTTTCCGCGCAGGAACACGCCGCCAGTCTTGCCCGGAGCAAGCAGCGCGTGGAGCTGGTACTCTGAGCAGTCCCCGAGGGGCACTTGGGTCCAGTACCGAAGCACGCGCACAAGCCCCGTGAGGGGGAGCATCAGGTACCCGAACGCGAACCCCGGCTTTCCTGGAGGCAGGACCTGGCCCGGGTACGTGTGCGTGCAGCTGAGCCAAGGATTCGTTGCGTGGAAATGCTACGAGCGAGATCAGCCGCGCCGGACGTGCGGGAGCAGACGACGACTCACCGCCACGAGCGTATCGTTGTATGGCAGGGCATATTGCATGCCCTTGAGCGCTTCGAGACGCTGCAGTGAGTGGAGATGAGCGGAACGCAAATACGGCTTGTAGGTGACCGAGCACGCACCGGGAACGCGCCATCCAGCCACTTCCTCCCTGCCCTCCGCGACTCCGCCAGGTCGAGGTCCGTCGTCGGGAGCGGCACTGCGTTGCCGGCAGCAAGGACGGTCATCAGGCTCGCCACCTGGTCCAGCTCGTGCGCTTTCGCAAGCAATGGGAGCAGCTCGCGCGCAATCAGGTATCGCGCGAAGTATCTGCGGCACTGCAGTCAGTCGGGGTGCCGAGGAGAAGAACATTAAAGACGGCCACGCACTTGGACGCCAGATGCTCTCCCAGGCCCTCTTTCGTCACTGCCGCCTTCATCAGCGAATTCGACACCGGCGACGACGCGCTCAGGAACAGATAGTTGATCCGCCCGGCGCCCGGGAGCGCATGCAGCTTGTCCTTGATCTTCGCTACGAGCGCGCGCACCTCGCTCATGAGCGTGACGTCCGCAAGGAGGAACTCGTGCGAGAACTCGGTGCCGAGATCGGGCTTCGGGAACGCGTCGAGGACCGCGCGCGCGGAGCGCTCGCTGCGGCCGACGATGATGATGTGCGCCCTGCCCTGCGTGTGGCGCGCGAACGCCTTGGCGACTTCCGCGCCGATGGCTGAGGTGCCGCCGACCACGACGAGCACGGGTGTGTACGTCGTCGGAACGAGGGCCGCATTGGCGGACTTTGCTTGTTGGAGAGCAGGCATGTCAATTGAGTTGATGAGTGGTGTGAGGAGCTCGATACAGTATGGAAGTCTGCACTCGCTCCTCTGGTTTATATGCGCACAGTCATCCTGGATATTGTTCGTCAGCGATCAGAGCAGCTCGCGCGTACGCCATCGCGTTGTTGAGATGATATGAATTAATTGCAAAGCAACTTGGGTCCAGGGCCGGTGTGTGTCATGTCGGATGACGCACAGGTAGTTGCGTTGCGTTGCTGCCGCGAGGGCGAGGCAACCATAACCAGAACAAGCTTGGACTGGTCTCCCTTTCGAGCTGCTGGGGGTGCCCACCGTACCAGGGAAGACACTGGACGGCAACCGCAAGTCATGATGGTCACAAGATATGGCACATCTGAAATAAGCCACGCTCAACGAAGGAGCCTATGTACCTTTTAGGGTACGTTCTACTATTTTGTTTTCTCAAGACTTCTCTCGATGCAAAACAAGGCAACTGCTTGTACCGCATATGCTGCTCAAGCGCTGATCGGGGTCGCGGAGCATCGGACGCCACACCGCTGACGCCTGATGATTGTCAGCTTCCATGTCCAAAGTATCCCAGCCTGGGCTTGCGAGGTTAATAAGACACTTAGCAGTCAGTGGAGGTACAGTTCACAAGCCGCCCTCGGCCGTACCGGAATCCGCTGATAGAGGACTAGCTCACCACCCCAGAGTCCCTGAGCGCTCGAATAAAGCATCCGCGTGACCCCACACCCACCACCCGAGCAAATCGACAGGCGACTACAACTGTGCGAGCTTGCACAACACAAGAATGCGCGGGCCAATCAGCCTAATCGGCCACAGATGAAAGATGTACTTGTTTGTGCGTGGTTGGCTTTTGGGTATCACCCCACCGCCCGTAGCGCATCTCCAGCACGAGGGAATCCCGAATGACACCACCGTAGCCCTCGCTCTGAAATCCAATTGCTTGACCCTGGGGAGGGATCTGCACGTGCCATCCTCACAAGATGTACAAAAGGAACGGCATGCGAACAGCTTGACGTGGTTTCAACCATGCGTCGATGGTGAGAGTTTCAAGCCATACCAAAGAGCAGACGGGCTTCTTCACTGGCAGTTGAAATGGCACACAGACTCGAATAACCAGAGACAAGCAAAATATGTTGGATTACGCGGATCATCGAGAACACATAGAGTGAGAAGGAACTCAAAGACACTGGGAGTACTGACACAGAGTTCAGATCGAGGGACACACGAGAGACCGAAACGAGGGAGAGGGCTCACATAAGCGTTGGCCGCGACGCAATTGTACGGCGCCACGCACGCCGTCGCACCCGTCCAGCCCTGCCCACCGCACTGTCCCCAATGCGCAACGGTGCCGCCCGTGCCGACCGGAGGCGGGGTAGCGCTGGTGGTGCTGACCGGGCCGGTGCCCCCGCCGCCACCGCCGCCGCCGCTGAGGAGCGCGTTGACCTTGCCCTTGACGAAGGTGAGCGCGGCCGCGCCGTATTCGACGGCGTAGCCCTGGTGCGTGTTGGCGTCGGAGCCGTTGCAGCAGTACGGGTCCGCGGCATCGCAGTAGGACTGGATGTTGGATGCGTACGGGCACTTGAAGCCGGCCGGCCGCGGGGCGAACTGCGGCGCTGGTCAGTCGGGGGTCGGGCCGAGTGCGGAGAAATAGAGAGAGAGAGAGAGGGAGGAAGAGAGAGGGAGACGTGGACGTACGCCGGAAGCCTGGCACGTGCCGACGTTGTAGGAGAGCCCGGGGATGTGGCGCGGGTCGCCCATGAATATCGCAGCGGCGATCTTCTTTTGCGCAGCGGCGGAGATGGGGATGGCCGTGTTCGACAGGCCCTCGTTCGTGTCCCCGCCGCCGCAGTACGCGTCGTCCATAATCTGCCCGCCCTGTCACCACAGCCAACAGTCAGCCACCACCACCACCACCTTCACACCCCCGACGCACCTGGGAGTATCCCACGAGCACGAGCACGGTATTCGGGCACTGCGCGTTGAACGCATTCACCTGGCTCGCGACCGCCGCGACGCCCGCGACGGCCGAGTTCGCGTACGACACGCCGCCGCAGCTCGCCTGCCCGCCGCACGCCGGGTACGTGATCGCCTCGCTCGTCGCGCCGGGGTACGCGCCGACGATGCTCTGCACGACGGGCCCCGAGGTGCCGTAGCCGGGCGGCACGGTCGTCTCGCGCGCGCCGAACACGTGCACCTGCGGGCACTGCGCGGCGACTCGGACGAGCGGCAGGAGCGCGGTGAGGACCGGGATGGGATGTGAGATCTTCATCGTCAAGGGGATGGGGATGGGGATGCGATGGGAGCTATTGACTGCTGCTGCTGCTGCTGGGATTGCTGCTCTGTGTGCCCCGCGTCTTGTATGCGGTGGATAAATCGCGGCGTGGGCGAATGTGACCGCCCGTGGAACAAAGTCGGGCGGACGCTGTTGTCAAGCCATGCTGCATGATCAGTCACCCCACTCGCGTCGCTTCAGGGTTGGGGGCAGGTGGTGGGGCCGTCTGAGTCCGGTGACGCTGCCGTTGTGTACCACGGCGACGGCCGTCGCAACAATGCGGACTGCCGCCGCATGATGTCGCTGTAGGCCCCCGGCTACTCCCTATTGGGTCCGGCCGGAATCGTGCAAATAACGGCCCGAAATTGTTGCTATACCTCGGCCTGAAAATAGCGCAAATCAGGCCCAAAACACTGAGTCTCAGACTCAGATGGCTCAAATCGCGGGCGCTGACCGCAAGTTTTTTCGCACCTGCCGTCCTCCGTAAGAAAGAGAGGGGGTCATTCATTCTCACTGGGATAAGTCAGATCTTGTGGAACGCACCCTAGGATGAAAGAGGACGAAATTGGACGGAACTTGATTCAAAACGCTCCAAGAAGTTCCTAATTTATCCCAATCCGGGTTGACTCCGGTCCGGACATAGTGCGAATCACGGTTCAGATGGTCGATTTCGTCGCGCAAATCAGCCTCTTGGGGCGGACTGACCCTTATACGGTGAAGCCGGGGGCCTGTCGCCGTGCGCGCTCTGGCTGAACTTTGTCGCGCCCATCTCGGAGATTCTGCGTGCGGTGATGACATCCCATCAGATCGGCGATTTCTCACGTCTTCGCCCCGGCCAAACGACGCGTGGCGGTGCCGTGCGATGTGTGTATGGTAAGTATGCATCACGGAAACACATGTTCCGGACCTGAACTTGATATTGGACGTCACGACACTGTTTGTCGAGACCTTCTGCGATTTGCTTGGGCAACTGCCGTAACGCAACACGGGCATAATCCGGTTACAGTTCTGCGACGGTCGCCGGAAAACATGTGCGGTCGCTGCCCTCGGGTTTCGGCCGGGCTCGAGAGTCGATTGGGGCTGCGGTTATCCTCGCAATTCAACTGCATCTGCATCGAATTATCCAAACCCACAGACGTATTCGCGATGAGTTTCCAGGTCGAACCCGAACGGGGTGGATATTCCGAGCCAAGATACCGAAGATGGCTTGAGCTTGCCCTCGCTCTCTTCGGCTGCGTGCGCTCGGCAGCGGCTGCTTCCCTCCACGGACTCCGGGTTCGTTCTCAGCCTTTAACCTATCGTCCTCGGGACGGTCCTCCGGAGCGTTCGACTGTAGTATTAAATCAACCTACATACATAGATCACAGAGTCCGTTACAAGAGACCGCGTCACACACACACACACACACACACTCGGCAAGTTTATTTTTCTGTGACGGCTCTTCTGGAGCGGTAAAGCCAAAGCGGTCGTTACGGTGTGGTGCATCTGGAGATCGAGCGCTAACGAAGGCCGACGTTACTGCAATCACTTTCGAGAAACTCAAGGAAGCAGTGGGTGCAGCGCGAACGCCAGCGACCGGCGTGGAGTGGACGTGAAGCTTGCTTGTGCTTGCTTCGCCGCGTCCGGACTGGCTGGCATCTTACTCGGCTACCAGCAGCTTGGATTGCGTGCGTGCAGTAAGTATCCGGGGCAGCGACAGATTCCGTGGCACACCGGAGGTAGATACAGGAGGTGGGCAAAGGAATCGATTTCCGAGCCTTACCTTTCGGGGTGCATCGCCAGAGCAGGGGGCCATGGCATCAGACGCGCACGGACGGCGATCAAAATAGAACGCAGGGAGGGTTCGGAAGATGGATGTTGCGATGTGGGTGGTCGTCCGGTCGATCAATCATCGTGTCTCGTACATAACATAACACACAGCCTGTGAACATCGCGTTCCCGTGACCAAGTATACAGTATGTACTGTGTCTGTAAGTGGCTGACACGGGCGATCGGAGATGTCTTGCAGGCTGGAGCGGCTCGCGGCCCATCAAGGCTCGGGCTGCGCTCGCTCGAGCCCGATTATGCAGATCTCCAGCGGTTGATAAGCTCCGGCCAGGGACGTCAGATCCCGGCTGACGTGAGGTGATAATAGGCGATAATTCACCTGCAACTGGGCCATGAACACGACTGCACCGGCTTCAGCCTACCTCCATCGCAGCGCACAACAACTGCTACGGAATATCAGGCTGATGCTACAGTGCAGCAGCATCTATGCTCCATGTGCTTTTTTCGAGAGAAGTGGATGCACAGGAGGATCGGCTGTTACGTCATCATTGATTACATACTGAGCCGCCAATCCGGGCCCGGCAACAAAGAAGACCGAGCCGTAACCGAGGCTTTAGCTTTCAGCGGGAGCACAGATGAACCGCACAATCGCGGTGACCTATAAAAACCAGAGGAGTCGGGTATGACGTTTCCGACTGCTACTGCTTTTTCTTGCACGCCCGCCCACGCTTACGACCCCGACCCCGACCCCCCATGGCGAGCGGATCCGTGACGCACACACCGCGCTCCTCCGTGACGGCCATCGAGCCCCCGGCCAAGGCGCTGTCGCCGCTCGACGAGGAGCTCGAGCGCGACGAGCGCGAGATCCACGAGTACGGCGGGGACGACCCGCACCCGCCGCCCGCGAAGCCGCACGCCGGCGAGCCGTATGTCGCCACGCCGCCCCCCGTGCGCGATCCGCAGGCCGTGACCTGGGATGGCCCGGACGACCCGGCGAACCCGATGAACTGGAGCGTGCGGCGGAAGTGGTTCATGACCGCGGTCTGTGTGTTTGCGACGGTCTGCGTGTACGTGCCTGGTCTCCTCTGTCCGCTTTCCCTCCCGAGGCTGACATTATTTTCTTCTTTTTTTTGTGGGGCGGCAGAACATTCGCATCGTCCGCACCCAGTTCTGCGTTACTCGTTCTGGAGCGCGATTTCCATACGTCCGCGGAGGTGTCGTACTTGACAACGACGACGTTTTTGCTCGGCTATGTCTTCGGGGTGCGTGTCCCGTCTGCACCGATCAGACTGGCCGACTGACTGACGTCATGCCCAACAGCCGCTCGTCTGGGGCCCCGGCAGCGAGCTCTTCGGCCGCAAGAGGACACTCGCCGTCGCGATGGTCGTCTTCACGCTGTTCCATCTCGGCCAGGCGCTCGCACACAACCTGCAGACGTTCTTCGTCACGCGCTTCCTCGCGGGCTTCTTTGGCTGTGCGCCGCTCGTCAGCTCCGGCGGCGTGCTGGCCGACATCTGGTCCGCGGAGACGCGCGGGGTCGCCACGAGCATATTCTCTGCCAGTGTGTTCATCGGACCCGTCATGGGCCCGATCGTAGCCGGATAGTGCGTGCAGCAGTTGCTTACCGCGTCTGATACATAATGACCGCATGCTGACTTGCAACTCAGTATCGTTGAAAGCGGCGTGAGCTGGCGCTGGATCTTCTGGGTCGGCATGATCTTCTCGGGCACCTGCACAGCCTTACTGCTCGTCGCACTGCGCGAGACGTACGTCCCCGTGCTGATGTTCAACAAAGTCAAGGCGCTGCGCAAGGCCGACCCGGAGGGCTCCGCGCACCTCTACGCCGAGATCGAGAAGCAGGACTGGACCCCGTGGGCGGTCGTCCAGCGCACGCTCTTCCGCCCGTTCACCATGCTGGCGGGCGAGCCGATCCTCGTGTTGGTCACGCTCTACCTGTCGCTTGTCTACGGTGTGATGTACTGCCGTAAGTCGTCAACTCGGCGCTGTGAAAGGACGAGCACGCGCTGACCCGCTCTCAGTGTTCGAGGCGTTCCCCATCATCTTCGTCGTCCGCCGCCACTTCACGATCGGCCAGGACGGGCTGATGTTCATCGGGATCGGAATCGGCACGTCGCTCGGCGCCGTGGTCAACTACCTCTGCTGCCGGCACTATCCGCGCCTGATCAAGGAGTGGCGCGGATTCCCCCGGCCGAGGAACGTCTCCTGGGCGCGATGATCGGCAGCCCTGCGTTTGTCGTCGGCGCGTTCTGGCTCGGATGGACCGGGCAGTACGCCTCGGTCCCGTGGTACGTCCCGGAGCTGGGCGCGATCGTCCTGGGCATGGGCATCTCGCTCATCTTCATGAGTTTCCTGAGCTACCTCGTCGACACGTACCTGTGCGTCCCCCCTCTCTCTCCGCTTGTCTCTCCCGCATGCTGACTGCGTCTGTGCGGCCAGGATGTATGCGGCGTCTGCGTTCGCGGCCAACACCTTCATGCGCTCGCTCGTCGCGGCCGTGTTCCCGCTGTTCACCGTGCAGATGTTCAACAAACTGGGTGTCCACTGGGCGTCGACGCTGCTCGGCGGGGTCGGCCTGCTGCTGATGCCGTCGCCGTTCCTGTTCTACAAGTACGGCGCGCGCATCCGCGAAAAGTCCAAGTTCGCGCCGTGCCTGGACCTGAAGATCGCCCGCGCCATGAGGGAGGAGGAGGCTGCCGCGAAGGGGGAGAAATCCACCGTCTGATCGATTCTCATCGCTGGGACAGAACGCCGGCAACTAATATCATTTTACACACCTCATATATCCCTAGTCGTAGCATATAGCCCTCACCCGTTAGACATACCTAGACACACGCCACGCCACTGTAGCATTATGCGGACATAGGCCGGAGTCAAAGACGCTCCCCCCATCATCATCATCATCATCGTCGAATCTATTCCGTCTCGTCTGGGACAACAACACTTCAGAATGAGCTACTCAGCCCGGGCGACGTCCCCGGCCGCTTCGGCGTGCGTTCCAGCCAGTTCGCCACAGCTTTGCTCCCGTCGCTCGTCGCCGGCCGCTTGGGCCCCGCCACCGCCAGCGCGCCTTTCAGCGGGCTCGGCCCCGGCGTCGGCGGCCGCACGGGCCACCCCGGCGAGACGATCCCGACGACGACGGCCGGCGGCGGCGGATCCGACACGCTGGGCCCCGGCGTCGGCGGCCAGTGCGGGTCCGTCTCCTCCGACACGAGCAGGCTCGGCGTCGACGCGGACAGGCGCAGCCGCCGCGGCGCGTGGGTGCGCGCACCGCGGGACAGCGAGCTACTGCGCCGCGACGGCGTGCGCGTAACACCCGCCGGCGCTGCCACCGCTGCGATGCTCGGCGAGGGCGTGGCCGGCGCGTGCGGGCCGGACGTGACGGTGGCCGTCGAGGAGGATCCGGAGAACGTCGAGTCCATGCGGAGCCGCAGGTTGTCCGTGTCGACCGCGCCCATGATGGTCGACACGAGCTGCGTGAACTCCTCGGGGAGCGGATGCGAGAGCGGATCGACGAATAGGCTTTCCTGGCGCGGCGGAGGCCAGATGCCCTCTTCCCGGAAGACCGAGCCGGAGTTCGAGGCCCGCGCCGGGAAGAGGAAGGACGGGTTCAGCAAAGGGACGTGGTACCCGCCCCGGCGTCGCGAGGGGGAGACGGGGCGCTCGGGTGCAGGAGGAGGATTGGTTCGCGTGTGCAGGTTGGTAGACGTCGAGTCTTCCCTTTTCAGGTCGAAGGACGACGGGTTTCCCCCGCCACCCTCTTTGTTGAGGATCGACACCACGGCTTCCCCGTCGGGCTCCCTCTGCTGCGCCTGCTCCCTGCTCTCGGCCGACGGGCGGGTCCGACAGCAGATCTTGATGATGATGTACACAAACAGAACCGCCACGATCGAGGCGAGCACGGACGCGAGCACGATGACGACTACAGCCGGGATGTGATTGAGCGCCAGGCCACGGGTGGTGAGCTAAGAAAAGCGCTGTCATTCGTTTGCGGAGTCTCGGGAGCGCAAGGAAAGCGACGCTACATGTGAGGGCGGCATGGAGAGACAGAAGGAGAGTC